GAAAAGTTGAACTGAATGATGTAGTTCCATATTGTAAATTCAAATAGAACAGGAGCAGGCTTTGCTGTGGTGTCTTCCTGCTTTAAAGAGCCTGATGATACCCGTGGTCTAAACTCAATTGTAAAGGATAGCGACTTAGACAAAGTGCCAAAGGTTGAATCGGGTTTGTCCCTTCAGGAGATGAATGGATACACATCGTGTTGGCTGTTGCCTTCAGGATGGGAACTAAACTTAAATGGGGACTGTCATCTTCAGATGATGAATAGATATGGAATGTAATGGGATTGAGAAAATAACTGGAGTAAAATAAAATTCAGGCAGATTTTGTCGCAATTTTCCTGTCATTTTTGAAGAGGAAAGCTAATTACAAAATCTGGCTTTGACTGACACTTGTTTCTATAAAGGTTGCACTATACCTGGTCTCTTCTTGCAGTGCCTCCTGATCTGCAAACTCTCGGGCAAACAACCAAGTTCCTTTTTGCACTCCAGAAGCACATTGAGTCCTGGTAACAGATAGGGCAGTCCCATTGTACAGGAATCACTTCCGATCTACTACTAACTGGTGAATGCCATCCCTTTACTGAACTCTGCAACAGTCTGCTTAGCTGAAACTTCCCAACATCACTAATTGTGATGCCATATCTATAGTCACACAACATTGACTGTGCCATCATTATATCTGTGAATGCACACTGTATGCAGTCCTATGTGAATTATACATGAGTGTGCAATCCTTAAGCCAGTGCCATTTTACTGTAAAAAAAATTACTCCTGTTGCTCCAATTCCAAAACCAAATTAGCCTGTGAATTCAGGCATAACAGATAGGACAGTAATGTGGTCTAATTTAGTTCAGTTGAACATTCACTATGCTTCATTCACTTACATTCACAGTTGGTATATTGAGCGTTCATTTTTCCCTCTAAATCCACCCTGGGATAAATTCAAGTCTTGTTCTACTATGTCCACTTGCACTCAACAGTGTCCATCATCTAAAGCGTAATAGAACTCCTTATCGTCCTTAACCTTCTGTCCTTCCTCGAACCTACAGGAATTTAAAACCAAGGTAATGATTTGCCTCAACTTCTTTTGGCCTTAGTGGTGATATCTCTTTGTAAATAAGGAAGCAGATCTATCTCTCCAGCTGAAGAGCTGTATTAAGTAAGGCTGGGAACAAGTCACTTAACCTCCCAATTGGATAAGAAATGGCATTGTGGTTAAGGCTGTGAACTTAGCTAGGAGACAAAATAATATTTATCTTCTTTTTTCATAGAAAATAGGAACAAGAATAGGCCAGTCAACATGACCATACGTGATCATGCAATATTCTCATTTTCTCACCCATCCCTTTGGCCCTAAGAACCATATCTAACTCCTTCTTGAAAATCTTCAATGTTTTGGTCTCAACTGCTTTCTGTGGCAGACAATTCCACAGGCTAACCAAACTCTTGGTGAAGACATTTCTCCTTATCCCAGTCCTAAATGTCCAACCCAAATCCTTAGACTGTGACTGTGACTCCTGGTTCTGGACTGCCTGGTCATCAGGAACATTCTTCCTGAGTTTACCACGTATAGTCCTGTTAGAACTTTATAGGTCTCTATGAGATCTCCCCTCATTCTTCTAAACTCCAGTGAATATATTCCTAACTAATTCAGTCTGTCTTCATATGTCAGTGCTATCATCCCACGATGGGATGAGTACATGAAGGCATGGAGTTCTTTCTCTTACCCCATCACACCCCAAACATTTTGCATTTTTGAAGCCACTAGCTCACAGGTGTTATTTTTATCCTTTGCTATCCCTCTCAAGTTCCTATTGTTCATGGGTGAGACTAGATATGATTGAACCTTGATACAACTAACTGAGCCAAGTCTTAGCATCGATGAAATGTGTTAACACTTCCAGGATTAGAGGGCAGGAAACTGAGCTCATGACTCTTGGATGGAAGTTAATTTTATTACTAATCTGCCACTGTGATTCTGGCAGACTTCTCTTTAATCTTTAAAGGTCCCCATGGTCTCAAGAAGGTTTTTGATTGAATCAAGAAAACAGAATCTTTGCCAGCTACTTACAAACCCAATAGAGTGAGGAGGAATTGGGAAGTTCAATGATATGTTCCCAGTCTTACCTAATACCATTCTTCATCCAGTACATAGATGTCAGGCTCACCGGTCTATAATTCCCTGGCTTTTCCTTACCACCTTTCTTAAATAATGGCACCACATTAGCCAAACTCCAGTCCTCCAGCATCTCATCTGTAGCTATCAATGATACAAATATCTCACCAAGGGGCCCAGCAATCACTTCCCTAGTTTCCCACAAAATTCTGGGATACACTTGTTCGAGTCCCATGGATTTATCCACCTTTGTGCATTTTAAGACGTCCAGCACCTCCTCTTCTGTACTATGGATACTTTTCAAGCTATCACTATTTATGTCCCCAAGTTCTCTCGCTTCCATATCCTTCTCCACAGTAAACACTGATGCAAAATACTCATTTGGTATCTTACCCATCTCCCGTGGTTCCACACATAGATGGACTTGTTGATCTTTAAGGGGCCCTGTTCTGTCCCTAGTTACTCTCTTGTCCTTAATGTATTTGTAGAATTTCTTTGGAATCTCCTTGACTCTAGTTGCCAAAGCTATCTCATGTCCCCTTTTGCCCTCCTGATTTCCCTCTTAAGTATATTCCTACTGCCCTTAGACTCCTCTTAGGAATTCACTTGATCCCAGCTGTCTATACTTTACATAAGCCTCCTTTTTTTCTTAACCAGAGACTCTAGCATTCCCTACACCTACCACCCTTACCCTTTGCACTAATAGGAACGTACTATCTCTGAACTCTTATTTTCTCACTTTTACAGGCCCCCCCACTCTCCAACCATCCCTTTACCTGCGAATAGCTTCTCCCAATCAACTTTTGAAAGTTCCTGCCTGATACCATCAAAATTGGCCTTACTCCAATTTAGAAATGAAACTTTAGATCTGGCCCATCTTTTACCATAACTATTTTAAAACTAATAGAATTATAATCACTGGCCCCACATGCTCCCTCACTGACACCTCAGTCACTTGCCCTGCCTTATTTCACAAGAGAAGGCCATGTCCACACACTGAACAAGAAAATTTTCTTGAACACATTGAACAAACTCCTCTCCAAACAAGCCCTAACACAATGGCAGTCTATGTTTGGAAAGTTAAAATCCCCTCCAGTTATAATCCTATTATTCTTACAGATGTCTGAGATCTCTTTATACATTTGCTTCTCAATTTCCCACTGACTATTTGGGCGACCTATAGTACAATCCCAATAAGGTGATCATCCCTTTCTTATTTCTCAGTTCCACCCATATAACTTTACTGGATGTTCTCCCAGGAAATATCCTCCTTCAGTATGGCCGTAATATTATCCTTAACCAAAAATGCTACTCCTTCACCTCTCTTGCCCCTCCCCCGCCCTTCTATCTTTTCTACAGCATCTTACCCTGGAGCATTAAGCTGCTAGTCTTGTGCATCCCTGAGCCACGTTTCTGTAATAGCTATGATATTCCAGTCACAACTGTGCCCGGAGTTCATCTTCCTTATTTGTCAGGCTTCTTGCATTGAAATAAATGTAGTTTAATTTATCAGACCTACTTCATTCTCTACCTAGCTCTTGGCTGCCTTGACTATTTAACTTGCTCTTCTCTCCTGTACTAGACTCAGACTTATCCCTTTTCTCAGTATCTCTTTGGGTTCCCCCGCCTTACTAATTAAAAGCCTGCGGAGCAGCTCTAGCAAATCTGCCTGCCAGGATATTGATCCCCTTCCAATTCAGGTGCAACTGTCCTTCTTATACAGGTCACTTCTACTCCAGAAGAGTTCCAAATGATCTGAAAACGTGAATCCCTGCCCCCTGCACCAGATCCTCAGCCTTGCATTCATCTGCCCTATCCTCCTATTCCTACTCTCACTAGCACATGGCACTGGGAGTTATCCAGATATTACTACCCTCAAGGACCCACTTTTTAATCACCTGCCTAATTTCCTATATTCTCTCTGCAGAACCGTGTCCCTTTCTCTTCCTGTGTCATTGGTTCCAACGCATACATCAGCTTTCTGCTGGTCACTGTCCCCATTGAGAATGTTCTGCACCAACCTCCTTGACCCTGGCACCAGGGAGGCAACACATCATTCTGATGTCTTGCTCTCGGCCGCAGAAAGTCTGTCTATGCACGACCAGACAGTACCCTGCCACAACCGATCGTTTGGAAACTGACAAATCCATCATTACAGTGTCCGTACCTGAAACCTGGCTGTCAGTGATATATTCCCCTGAGAGGCCATCATCCCCTACAGTATACAAAACGGCATATCAGTTTGAGATGGGTTAGCCTCCGGAGACTCCCGCACTACCTGGCTATCTCTCCTACCCTTCCTAATGGTAAACCATATACCTGACTGTATCTGTAGTTTTTCTCACTTCCTGAAACTGCCATCTGTCACACTCCTGGCTCCTGTAAATTCCTCATTGCTTCTAACTGCTGCTCCAACTGATCCTGCAACCCAATGGGGTTCACACACTTCCCACAGAGATAATTTCCAGGAACATTGAAATTCTCCCTAAATCTGCAACATCCAACAGGAAGAGCATATCATTCTACCAAAAGCCATCTCCGCCCTTTAATCTACACCTGACAAAGGTGCTGCACTCTGAAATCTTGTGATTTCAAATAAACCTGTTGGACTATAACCAGGTGTCGTGTGACTTCCGCTGTAATCAGCAAATAGCTTCCTTTCATGTTTAAAAAATACCGTTTTTGTTGCAAATGGATTGAAATTTTATTGAAGAATGTCAAAATCCCACTGTATTTTCTGCAAAGTCTGTGAAGAACTGTTTTCCACTTGTAGATAATTCATGAATGAAGTAGAAATAGGTAGTTTTAGGATTATAACAGCTTCCTGCCGAGAGGAGGCGATAGCCAGGGAGAGAGAGCCGCCCATTAGCAATGGGCCATCTTGCTTCAAAGGGACGGCAGCTTGCTGTCTGACATGCGCAGTGCGTTGGTTAAGGCGGATGTGGTGGGTGACGGTTGGTATTTGCGCATGTGCGGGAAAGGGCGCGGAGTTTAAACGACAGGAGCGGCAGTTGGTGCTATCGACAGAAGGGGTAAGTGTGAGTGGGCTCGGTCACCAGGTGGGGGTCGAGAGAAAGGGAGGAAGGGAGAAAGGGAGAAAGGGAGGAAGGGAGGAAGGGAGGAAGGGAGGAAGGGAGGAAGGGAGGAAGGGGTGCTCGGTCACCGGGGAGAGGATTGCTGATTCACGGCCATTTCCACTGAAGGTCGGCGGCTCGCTCGCCTCACCGCTTTTAATGTACTTTGCGAGTCTTGTTTTATTCTTTGATATATGCCGTCTGACGTGGAAAAATCTCGTCACCGTTTTTATTTCCGAAAAAGAAAGTCCTTTTGTTTGTTGATTATTTTTTTAAATTAAAGGTGTGGAATATTGCAGGAGTGTAAACGCACGCAATCTTCACCCCCCCCCCCCCCCCCCCCCCCCCCATACCAAAAAACGGGATAGATCACATTCTGAGAAAAACTTTGAAACACAACAAGACATCAAGGCAAATGGCCAAACGTTTACCCCATTGAGGACTTTTTTTTTTTTTAAATCGCCCCTTCCAATTGCTTGAACCTTCTTTCCTTAACCTCTCTCGCTTCGCTACGCCCCACCCCCACCCAAAATCTGCTGGAAACTGCCTCGGAATTTCTCATCTGGACGGAATTTGCCCACACCCAGCTTACATGTTCCTGCATCATCAGCGAATCTGCTCATTGCTCGTTAGACTCTGCAACTGTCAGCCTGCTGTGGCCACTGGGCACTAACCTTTGCAGTTGCAGTCTTCAGGGGTTTTTTGTTTGCATTTTCTTTTGAGAGATAGTAGCTCAATGCATAATGAAAGTTATAATGCTGATCTGTTCCAATTTTCTGTCTGTTCTGAATGAAATTTCTGAAGCTTCAATCTGGCTGTGGAGCTGTTACAATTGAGTTTCATCCTGTAATCTGACTTCTAGGTACGTACTTACATCAAGTATGATTAGGGACACTGAATATGTTATCACTTTTCTTTGCTCGCATATTGAAGAGTTCAGTTGCCTCTGTCACTTAAACTGCATTTGGCTAACTCAGTAAGCAGGACCATCTGTCACAACAAAGTCTGATAAAAGGAAAGAAACCAAACTGACAACCTGGCATTATCCAAGGCCCTGGAAATAACAACAGCAAGCCCAGCCCTACTGACCCTGCAAACTTCTTCCAATTACCATCTAGGGCTGAAATTGTCACACAGTTGAATAGTCACAAAATGCCCCAGACACTACCACTACCATCCCTGGGTAATCTACTGGCAAGATGGACCCAGCATTGATGTTGAAACAGTTGGCACAGAGTGCCCTGGGAGTCTTTAACATTGGCTCCAGATCTCATGAAGTTTCATAACATGAAGTCAGATGTAGGTAAGGAAACTTGTGACCTTTCTAGCCCTAAGTGAATGGAAGAAAAATTCAGCCTGGGACTTATAAACTGGATTAAGTAGAAAATTAAGTTTGAATTTCTATCCAAGCACGCAATTTTAAGCTAACATTTCACAAAACCCTGGATTGCTACCCTATTATATCTGCACTTACTTTGATAAGATTTGATGAATTCTCTTGCATTGGTAGAAACAGACCTTTGAGGTCTGCTGGTGATGTGTATAAATGTAATTAAAATTGCTGTGGCCACGTTTCCTCCTTGCACAAGCTGTGGGATTGGGATAATATGTTATGGATAGAGGACTAGTTAACGTCTAGAATAAGGTGATAGAATAGTTGGTGTCAGTGTTTTCATTCTGTTTTTGAGACTTTTTTTTAGCTGTTAAATACAAACCAGTGGTTTGCTAGGCCATTTTAATGGACAGTTAAGAATTAACCACCATACACAATCTGGAATTATCTGTAGGCCAGTCCAGGTGAGACTTCCATCCCTGAAGGACAGCAGTGAACCATATGATTTTTAACAACAATTGTTGATTATATTCTAGTCATCGTTAGACTTTCAGTTCCAGATTTTTTAAAAATTAAAATTGACTGTCTCTGCCATGGTGGGATTTGAATCCAGATTCCCAAAGCATTACTCAGATCTTGATTATTCATTTAGAGACGCTACCCCTTTCCATCATATCTCCAAGGCGCATTGTCTGTTCAATAAGATCAGTGGGATGTAACAGTGCAGATGAATTTGGGCTCCTTGTGCATGAATCATAAAGTTAAAAGTGCATGTACATCCATCAAAGAGGAAGGCAAAAGGTCTGCTAGGCTTTATTACAATGGGACTGGGAATGAATGAGTGTCTTGCTAACATTAATATAGTTCTTTAGCTACAGCTAAAGGGTACTGTATGTAACTTGATCTTGCCTAAAAATCAATAAACTTACAGTAGAGGGTTTGTAAAGATTCACTGCTCCTAAGACTGCTGTCTAATCAGCCCATTGAATACTGAACAGTTTCGATGTCTATTATGGCGTCAGGTCTAATTTTCCACTTATTTGCCACAGCTATTTGACAGCCTTCTTGTAAAAGGACTCGTCTAACTGCAACATTGTATATTCAGTGGTTTTAATGTTCTCTGGATGAAAATTTCCAAAGACTCTAATTAGAAATTCCTCCTCACCTGTTCTCCCATATTATACTCCATCTGCCAGCTTTTGGCCCACTCACTTAACTTGCCTATATACTTCTTGCAAGCTGTCCTTTTCACAACTTGCTTTGCTATTTATCTTTATATCAGCAGCAAATTTGGATGTAATAGGGCTGTTACCAATACCCAAGTCATTAATAGAGGTTGCAATAGTTTTTCCTGATTCTATCCTGCTAGATATAATGTGTGGAGAATTTTTGAGTACAGTCTTATCCACCCTTGCTAAATCTTCAGAGAACTCTACTACCCTTTTTCAGATCCTGTTTCATTTTCATTGCAGCAGAAACAGCATGGTTTTATAACTTTCTAAATGTACTATTACTGTCGTGAATGGATGCTTGTATTTTTTTTCAATGACTGCTAATCTACCTGGCTTATAGTTTATCTGAATGATTCATTGAGTATATTCAAGCCTGAAATTAACAGGTTTTTTGGGCATTTCAGAAAATCCAGAGATAGGGAAGAAAGATGGACTTGATGTTAAAGACCTGCCATTCACTAAAATCGTAGCTGAATAATTTATCTAATGCTCCTTCCATGTTGTTTTCGTTATATAATCTACACCACAGTTTAATTTTCTTGGGATCTTGCTGTGTGCAAATACTGTTGGACTTTCAGGAGTAGTTAGTGATTTAGGTTGGTCCTTTGTGACATGATGTTGTTCTTGGTCTGTGGTGTTCACTACACCTGGGTGCAGAATGAGAAAAACTTGTGTTGGTATAAGTCTTTGGCATTCTCTCTTTCAAACCATTTGACAAGCAATGAAGTACTGTAGTGTGCTCATGGTTGTATTTCTTTGGAAAAAAAGAGCAGTTTGAACACTAGGCCTCTCAGGAATAAATGTTGACCGGACAATGGGAAAAATTCCCCTGCTTTTCAAAATATCATGGAGCCTTTTCTAGCTTCCTGAGAGAGCAGATGCTGCTCCATGTAATAATTCATCTGAAAGGCAGTGCCTATGTTCAATAGTGCAACCATTCATGTCTCTCAGTGCTAGGCAACAGCCAACTCTAGCAAGAAACAATCTAGCCATCGCCACGTAACATTCAAAGGCATTACCACAAGTGAATTCTCTCACTGACATCCCGAGTGTTACCATTACCCAGAAACTGCATACTGGCTACAAGAGCATGTCAGCGGCTTGGAATTCTGCAGCAAGTAACTCCCCTCCTGTCCTAAGACATGTCCACCGTCTGCAAGGCATAAGACAGGGTTGTGATGCAGTAATCTCTGCTTGCAGGGATGGTTACAACTCCCAGCACCACTCGATGCTTTGCCATGGACAATGTGAAGCTGCCTGCTTGATTTGAACTACCACTTTCAATATTCGCTCCCTTCAATGACACTGGCAGTGGTGTGTACCATCTACTGATTCACTGTAGAAACTCTTGTCAAGGATCCTTTTGACAGAACCTTGCAAACCTGAGATCTCTACCACCTAGAAGAGCAGGGTAGCACATGCAAGGACATGAATGCCATCAGCTGCAAGTTTCCCTCCAAGCTGCACTCCATTCTGACTTGTAACATTGTAAGTAACTCTCCATCCAAAAGAGTGCAGGTATTCAGGAAGGCAGTTTATTACCACCAGGGCAATTAGGGATGGTCATTTAATGACTTTCTCACATGAATAATTTTTTTAAATGCCTTCAGTTCCACAATGTCAATCTAGATAGTCGTGTGCAATCCTCCAGTATGGGGTTTATATCTGCGACCTTTATGTTCAGGTGACAGTGCTATCATCTAAGTCATAACTTACTTAAACAAAGACTCTTTTGGGATTTTTGAAACTTTATTTCTGGATATTTCTAAATACAGGAGCTGCAGAAAGGATGCTTCCCTTGGCTGTGTGGTCTGGAACAATGTGAATAGTCTCAGAATAAAAGGCAAGCCATTTAAGAATGCAATAAGGCAGAACTTCTTCAATTAAAGATTAGTGAACCTTTGGAGTTCTTCAACGGAGAGGACCGTGAAAGTTGTCATTAAGTTTGAGAGATTTACAGGTTTCTACTTGTTAAAGATATCGAGGCATGTGAGAATAAGTTGAGTTAGATGATCAGTCATGACTTGGCATGGTGGACTAGGCTCTGACTGATTCACTAGCTCCTAATACTTGCATAGATGGTTATGCATTTGACATCTGTTTTAAAACCTGTGCTCTTGCATTTTGATGCAAATTTTCAAATGGTGTGAGCAGTGCTTGTTGCTACTAGGACTGAACTTGCTTGCTGCTTTGAACCTTAAATCACCACAACATCCTTTTCCCGTTCATAAAAATCGAAAGAACTGCAGATGCTGTAAATGAGGATCAAAAACAAAGTTGCTGGAAAAGCTCAGCAGGTCTGGCAGCCTCTGAAGGGAAAAAGAGTTAACGTTTTGTATCACAGACCTGCTGAGCTTTTCCAGCAACTTTGTTTTTAATCCTTTTCCCCTTACTCTAATTTGGGGGAAAAACTATTCAAACCTCTTGGATATGAATACATAACAGTTCACAATTATTTATTTAGTGCTTCCTTTTCTTTTTAGGTTACAGACGGCAAATTGTCCAAAAGAAAAGGAAAAGGGGAAAAAATGTCTCTTCACAGTGTAGAAGCAATGCTGCGAGGCCCTTTGAAACGCCTGAGACAGCAACCTACCGAGAGTGATGGAAGTGACAATGGTCAGTTTGTGTTAAACTACAACCAGTTCCTCCCTGAAGTTGCTCCCGTTCAGAGTTAGAACTATACAGCATGCAAACGCACCCTTTGGCCCAACTCATCCATGCCGACCAAATATCCTAAAATAAATCTAGTCCCATTTGCCAGCATTTTGCTCGTGTCCCCCTCAACCCTTCCTATTCATGTACCCATCCAGATGCCTTTTAAATATTGTAATTTTACCTTTCCTTGCTCCCTTTCTGGATACTTGTATGTCCCAACTTGACTTTTTATTCCAACAGGTCTACAATCTTCTGCTTGTACAAAATCTTCTTGATATCTACACTATATTTCCTCGCTTGCAAATATATATTTAAATATGTTCCCTCATTCTCCCTAACTTATATCTCTCACGAATATGCCGTGTGGATGGACTATTTATAGTTTTCATTATCATTCGATATCAAATAACCCAGACATCCCTGGATTTCTAAGTTAAATGCAGTAGGACAAATCCAACCCACCCCAACAGTCTACAAACAGCAGCAAAGTGAAAGATATGTTACACTATCAAGTACCATTTACTCAGGCAATGACCTACTGACCGACATCTGTTTGGGCAATGTCCTCGGCACTAGCATCTTCACTATAGACCTTTTTTCCCAAGGTCAGAAATGGAGATATTTGTTGAATGCAGTGTTCGATGCTGTTTGCGACTCCTTGGGTAATGAGGCAGTCTATGCCTATGTGCAGCAATACCTAGGCAGCATTCAAACTTATGCAAGTAGGTGGCAAGTAACATTTTACACCACACAACTGTCAAGCAGTTAACATCAACAAGAGAGTAAGCTACCTCTCCTTGACTTTCAACAATGTAATCATAGTCGAATGCCCCACCATGAGCATCCCAGGGCCCCCACTTAACCACATAAGCATGTCATTCCTATAAATATTATGGCTGCAAGAGCCTATAAGGTTAGAAATTATTTGGCAAGTAACCCGCTCTGCTAAACCTGATTATCATCTACAAGGCACAATTTAGGAGTGTAAGAAAATATTCTTCACTGCCTGGATGAGTGCTGCTCCAGGAATATTAACTTCAACACCAACCAAATCAAATCAGTTCACTTGATCGTGCACCAGTGGTTCAAGTGGTGACAACAGCAACAGTGTGCACCACCAACGACGAGATTCACTGCAGCAACTTGTCAAAGCACTTTATAGCAATTTCCATATTTGCAACTTTTACCATTTGAAGACCAGCCGATGCATGGAACTCCAGTGCTTGCAACCTATCCTTCAAATTGCACATATCCTGACTTTAAGCTATACTGTTATTCCTTCATTATCACAAGGTTAGAATTCTGGCATTGTCTGCCTATCAATGCTATGAGATCGTAATCACTTCCTAACATACATCTAATCGTTAGGTTTGCTATCACCTCATTGGGCAACTGAAGATAGACAATAAATGTTTGCCTTGCCAGTGATTCTTATTTATTTTTTAATTCATTTTTGATGAGATCAGCATTTACTGTTGAACTGACTGGCTTGCTGGGCCATGTCACTGGATAGTTAAGAGTCAACCACATTGCTGTGAATCTGGCTCTCGTAGGCCAGATCAGGTATGAATAGGATAGCCTCCTCTACTGGATATTGGTGAACCAAATGAATTTCAACAACAATCCAGTAGTTTCTTGATTCTTAATGAGACAACATTTTTTCCCGTTTTTACTATTTTAGATTAAATTGCATGAGTTAACATTTGTGATATCATGGCATTTAGCAAACGTGAATAAATAAGAGCGGTGTGGAAAAACAGGTTAGCTGTGTGTTTTTGGTGTACAATGTTTATCCTGGTTGTATTGCTCTCTAGTTTAACTCTTCCAAGTGAGTGCCTCTTCTTGCTGTTTTAACAAATTGCATTAATAGCTAAGAAAAGTAGATAAAAAAACTTGTATCTGTTGTAAAAGCTTTACAACAAGTAATTTTATTAAGTGATTTCGTGTACTCGGTGATTCACTAATATAATTCTGATTTACAGTACTACCACTAGACGCTCTAAAGAGGCAGAAATGTGCTTCCTTGGATGAAGAAAGAGAAAACATAAATCCTATGGAGTCTGTTTTTACATCCTCCAAGGCATTTCGAGCCCTAGAGCAAGAGATCAAACCAGACACTCCTGTGGTTCCATCAGTAAAATCGAGGCTTCACAGACTTGCTGAACAGAAGAAAGCTTGGGATTCTGATGGTATGATCTTTTCCAGTATGATGCAAGTTTCTATGTATCTGTTTTCTTTTTTATTACAGTTATTAGGGATAGTACTATAAGCGCTAGCAGCTGTGGTAGTGGGAAATCTGTTTCTTTCCTGAGGCCAATGGCAGCAGCCTATTGTGCCTGTGGCTGTTACAGCTGGGATGAACCAATAACATCGAAACCAGGAATTTGAGATTTATGTAGCTTAATTCTGCATCACTGATGTATCTGCTAAAGAATTGCTTTTGTCACTTTAATTCTTGATTAATTTATGTAGTGAAGGTTGCTTTTTGATCATTGTGCATAACTGTCCCAGAAAGTGTTTAAATACTCAAACAAATTAAATGTGGGATTCTAAATTTTAATACTTGTGCAAATTTGTTAGTGTGGCATTCTGTCTCTACCTACACGTTAAATTCAAAATAACCTTGTTTATGCATAATGATATGTAGGCAGTAGTTAAAATTCTGAGATTAATGTCCATGGTCCACAAAGCAAATTATTTTGTTGTTTTAACAATGATGTATTGAGCTAAGAGGGCAATTGTTAGCCAGTAAGGAAAGAGAAAAAAATAGAAATTGCTGGAGTAGCTCAGCAGGTCTGGCTGAATCTGGAGAGAAATCAGAGTTAACATTTCGGGTCAAGTGACCCTTCTTCAGAACACTTCGTAAGGAATGAGTATGCTTTCAGTAACTAATGTTCTATCTTTTCAGAGCTTTCTCCTGATACGCGAGTGTCTTTGGACATGAAAAATGGGCAAGGTCTTCCGGAAACAACTGGATCTTGGAAGGATGAATTAGCCAGACCTGCTATTAAGAAGGTACATCAATCTGCTCATGATCTGAGCCCTTAAAAGAACGTTTCTATCATTCATGCCATGAAGAAGGTACATATTAGAACTCATTTAAAATCACTTTGAATGCTTTCACCTACCTCCTGTCCATCCCCCATCAAACTGAGCCTTAAGCATATCTTGCATGCTGTTGTCTTGGTGACATGGACCTGTGAAGTGTACGTGAAATGTCAGGAGTAAGTGCTATAGTCTGGCCTTATTTAACGAGGTTGAATCAGAGTGCTGGATGTCAATGTGTGTGTGTGTGTGTGTGTGTGTGTGTGTTACTGTACTCCAACATCTCCTACTGAAACCTATGTGGACCAACAAATGGGAACAGCAAGGATGTGTCACAGTTATTAAACTAATATAAAGAAAATCTAAAGTGGGACTACAGATTTTGTATACCTGTGTGAGGATTGTTGATACTTTCAGAGCATAGAGCATAGAACATACCTATACATCTCGTTTGTCTCCCTCTGGTCGAATTTCTTTCAATGCTGAAGACTGGACCAACTTATCAAAATGTATGAAACAATAAGGCTCTGGTCAGACCGCATTTGGAATATTGTGAGCAGTTTTGATCCTGTATCTAATGATGTGTATGCTGCCCTTGGAGGGGATCCAGAAAGGAGGATTACTAGAATGATCCTGGAGATGAATGGATTATCATCTAAGGAGTGGGCTAGGGCTCTGGGTCTGTACTCAGATTGAGAAGGCTGATTTGGTGGGGGGGTGTTCCGATTGAAACTTATAGAATACTGAGAGTCCTGAGTAGAGCGGACATGGAGAAGATATTTCCACTAGTGGAACAACTAGTACCTGAGGGCACAGCCTCCAAGTGAAGGGGTGACGCTTTAGAACTGAGATGAGGAATTCCTTCAAGTAAGGGTAGTGAATTTGAGGAACTCATTGGGCAGAAAGCTAGGAAGCCCAGTCATCAAGTGTATTTAAGACAGAGATAGGTTCTTGATTAGTCAGGGGATCAAAGGTTACGGGGTGGCAGAAGGAGAATGAGGTTGAGGACCATACCAGCCATGATTGAATGGCAGAGCAGGCGCAGTGGGCTGAATGGCCTAATTCTGGTCCTGTATCTTATTACCTTATGATGTTCTTTTTTGGGGAATTGGTATTTTCATTTAGTAATACAGCTACTTCACTACTGTATTGACGTAGTAATGAGAATCTTTGTGCATTTATAATAGGATGTTTCTCTAGCGACCAATCGGAAAACCCCAGAACTCAATGTTTGGGATCTGTTGGAAATTTGCAAAATTTCTATTAGAGAGCATTTGCAACGCTCCGCTCGGTGTGCTATTCCTCACCAACGGTTCACCAGTGAATTGAATCTCCTCCATCCCTAATTCTGCATATTTCCCCTGAGCAGCACACCCACTTCAGAGCAATTTTCTTCTAGTCTATTCTGCTAGACTCCGGTATGGTCTGCAGCTATGTACGCCACTAAGATCCTTGGCTCAATTCCTTTTTCATAAACGGTGGAGACGCTATCCTCTTCGGGAGGCCAAGCAAGGAGATAAAATTAAGAGTTCCACTTGAAAAGGTTTGTAAGGATGTTGCCGAGATTGGAGGGATTGAGCTATAGGGAGAGGCTAATTGGGGTGGCCTTGTAGAGGTTTTTAAAATCATGAGGGACATTGATAGGATGAATAGCCGAGGTTTTTTTTTTTTTGTTTGTTTTTTTTTCCAGGGTGGGGGAGTCTAAAACTAGAAACCATAGGTTTAAGGTGGGAGGGGCAAGATCTAAAAGGGACGTTAGGGGCAACTTTTTCATGCAGAGGGTAGTGTGTATATGGAATGATCTGGCAGAGGAAGTGGTGGAGGCTAGTACAATTAAAAGGCATCTGGATTGATATATGAATAGGAAGGATTTAGAGGGATATGGGCCAAATGCTGGCAAATAGAACTAGGTCAGTTTGGATATTTGGACGGCATGAGTGAGTAGGAACGAACGGTCTGTTTCTGTGCTATATAACGCTAACTCCTGACTATCCAGTAAATCTATTGAAAAATGATGGCATGTGATTAAGATTCAGTGAGATTGACATCAATTTAAATAGTTTGAGCTCTCTCCTGATTCCCATGTGATTGCTAATAAATTTACCATTTTCTGTTGGAGCAGGCCAGGCAGGAAACTGAAAAGAGAACTAACTTGAATTGCACAAAAGAGAAAACTGCAAAGATTTCTAGTAAGTGTAATCTGTATTAGTCTTCAATTCCTATGTGGTGATTGTGCATTATTAGTAACTGTCAAAAGTACTCTGGTGTGACTAGGTCCCTTCCTGAAACTACGTAAATTAATTTGTCTTGTGAATGCATAACATGAGGAAGGCAGCAGCTTTGCAATACAATAAAACTGGTACAAAAATGTTGAAAATTAGGTCAAACTTCTATGATTTGCTTGCTGACTTCCTATAGTCTGTCTTGCGTTAATTCTTTCCCTTGTTCACATGCTGTGATCATTGTTTCTCTTCCTGTCAGGATATTTTTCCCTTTACTGCCCATCTTCTCTTCATTTTTGCCTTTTCTTTTCGAACTATATTTTTTGTTACCTTCCAATTTGTGATTTTTATTAGGTTTTTTGTGTAGCATTTTTTGAATATTTACAGTGCATTACAGACTGGCATTATTGCAGTATTTATGAAGATTACTTTTATACACTGAGGTCCTGCATTTTCAGTTGGGTAAGTTGAAATAAATGTCCAAGTCTAATATGTAAAAATATTGCAGACTTTGAACATGGAAATTAATAGGTATGAAGAGCATTAACTGTATGCATTTATCTATGATGTGGAATATTGAAAACTTATCAGTCACAAATACATTTTGAAGGCTGTTGCATTAGTTAAATTTGGGCATTCTACCTTTTTCTGCTCTTCTTTCCTCTCCCCTCTCCTTCCTCTTTAAATTCCTCCTGCTTCCTCACCCATCCCTCTTCCTCAGCCCCTTTCCTTTTGGTCCAGTGTTAACGCAAAATAGCATCTTGAACCTTAATTTATTACCATGATTAAACTGTGAAAATACTCTAAATAGTCAAGCTATGCTCCAGACTTTCTGCTTGCATACCTCCCATTACTACTTACTGAGAGGTATTCTCCCCTATAAAGTATTCCACAAACCAAGAAGTGTCAACCTTTTGTGGGTCAGAGCTCCTGAACTAAATTGAACAAACTTTCTTTATTAACAATCTGAGTAAAAAGTCAAGATTATAATTTAAGCAAAAAAATAAGCTTGGTAGATTCTTGGAATAAGAAATGAGATCATGGTTGATCTGATCTTCCATTCCACTTTCCGCCTTATCCCCATAACCATTGATTCCTTTATCGATTTAAAAATTTGTCTATCTCAACGTTGAATGAGCTTAATGACTGAACCTATATAGCACTCTGCGGTCCCTACCTCCAGAGGAAATTCGCCGCCATTTCTGTCTTAAGTGGACAATCTCTATTGAGCATCATCAGCTAGACTTCAAACAACATTATTTTTAGCATGAAATGCTTTGAGTTTAAGACCTTCTAGAAATGAAACTGTCAACTTGTGCAATACTGACTTTGGATCACCACTTGACTGCTCAGTGGCTAGGCCTTTTTCAATGCAGATAAGTTTTCTGCAATTATTGTGGCTGCTGACTTTTGATTCCATGATCTATTAATTCCAAATTTGTCTAATAGTAATTATTGATAAAAATGGATTACTTATTAAAACCAAAATAGGTGTTGCTGTGCAATCAGTTCGAGAGAGATTTGAAGAATTGAGTCGTGAGAAACCGAACCAGGAGGAAAGGGGAAGCTGCTCTAAGATAACTGAAACAAGTCAAAGTACAAAAGCCATCCAGGAAATGTTGCTTCACAAGTCTACTGCCAGTGCATCTCATGTCGTCCGGATGAAAAAGGTAAATTGCAGACTGCACGTTTTTAAAAATTTGGGACATGAAGATGAACCGATCATAAATAGGAGCAGGAGTAAACAATTCACCTCGAACCTGTTCCACCAGACTTTGAGCCACTATTATGGCTATTACGTGTGTATTATGATTGCCTTTGATAACACATTATTCATAGGTTAGTGTCAAATCCATGCAGGAATACAGTTAGAATGAGTACAGATGAATTAAGGCAGTCAAAAATGTGTGTTTTTGAAGTTGAGGAATAAACCAAGAAAATTGCATTGAGTTGGATGAGTGGCTAGAAGATGAGCCATCAATAGTTAACTTGAAGAGAAAGGAATGCATATTGAACTAGTTAGTCATTGGGTATGAACAAGCCTGTGGAGCAGTGAATGTTGCAGAATTGGGATGTAGCCACAATACTTGCAGAAAATTTATCTGCATTCAAAAAGGCCTAGCCACTGTGCAGTTAAGTGGTAATCCAAAGTCAGTATAGCACAAGTTTACAGTTACATTTCTAGAATGTCTTAAACTCAAAGGACTTCATGCTTTGAAAATTGAGGTTTGGTGTAGGTCAGCAAAGATAAGGGTGTTGATTAGATAGTATTTTGCATTGGGACCTTTTTTAAGTGAAGTAGAAAATGGTTCAAAATGATCAGTCAAGTGGAGTTAAGGAAGAGGGCATTGGAAAAGTTTTCATTGGGGTAAAATGAGAAATAACAGGGCTTCAGGTTACCAAGTGGTGAAATCTCATTAGCAGTGAAGTTTATGTAGGAATTTTATGGTTATAGATGCCCTTGGTGAAAATCTAATCTGACGGTTTGAGTATGCACAAACTGAGGACTTGGCTGTGTTTTTAAGAAGCCACGAGTGACCCAATTGACAGCACAGTAACAGCCCTAGATTTAACTGCAATGATGAAGGCAAAGACAGGTATTGTTGCCAAACTGAAATATGCAGAATGTTGGTGTCTTTAAACAGAAACCTGATTGCAAGAATCACTGGGCATGCAGTGGATAATATGGTGCCTTCTGGAATTTGAGGATCCTGGCAGTTAAAGGTCAAAGCAGCCAAAGTTCAACATTTTAAGAAATGGCTTTTTTTTTTTGGTTGAGGTTCTACATCACAGACTAGTCACAAAAGTAAGACTGCAGAATTCCAGGCACAGTGACAGTTTGGATTCAAAATTGACTGAGATAGGAAACGAAGGTTATTGTTTGGATGTCTTTGTGAATGGGAAGATGTTTTCGGTGGAGCTCTGTGGGCCTTTAAATTGTTTGCTTTAAGAAGTTTGGAGATGGTTTCAAATAAAGAGGGCACTGCGGTTGAATGCTGTTGATTGTAAGAAAGTCTCAATGAACTAGTCAGGTGGGTGAAACAGTGCCAGATGAATTTCTTACCAGGGTAGTGAGGTAATACGTTTGAAGGCTGGCAAGCGAATAAATGATGGCAAACTAGAATGTAGATGACCAGAGAAACCTTGCAATGAATTTCCATAGATACCTGCAGATAGGTGGATAAGGTGACCAAGGAGACAAACTGGGTGCGTGTCTCTAATTGAAGTATAGAATATAATGTCTGTTCAATATTAGCATAGTTTGTGATATCACTGGATACTGAAGCAGTCCAATACAAATGCAGCAAGAGCTGGAAATATCCAGGTTTGGGCTGACAACCAGCAAATAACATTTGCACCCTACAAGTGCCAGGCAATGACCAGCTCCATTAAGAGCAAACCTAACTATTGCCCCATGATGACTGACATTGCCATCACTGAATTCCCCACCATTACCATCCTGGTAGTTACCATTGATGGAAACTGAATGGACTAGACATAAGTACTGTGGCTACAAGAGCACGTAGGAATCTTGCAGGGAGTAACGCTCATCCTGACTCTCCAAAGTCTGAGCACCATTTACAAGGCGCAAGTCAGAAATGCAATGGAATACACATCACTTGCCTGCATGAGTGGAGATCCAACAACACTCAAGAAGACTGACAACATCAAGGATAAAGAAACCCAAGTTGCATCAATAAATGTTCAGTCCCTCTTCCATCAACTGTCAGCAGCAGTGTGTGCCATCTGCAAGATGCACTGCAGAAATTCACCAAAGATCCTTGTACATTACCTTCCAAACCCATGATTGCTACCATCTAGAAGGACAAAGACATCAGATGCTTAGCAACACCAACACTGCAAGATCCCTCTCCAAATCTAACTATCTGATTTGGCAATACATTGTTGTTCCTTCAGTGTTGAATCAGAGCCCAGTGTTCCCTCCCTAATGGCAATGTAGGTGTACTTACGACAAAAGCACTGCAGTGCTTCAAGAAGGTAGTTCACCAGCATTTCTTGGGGTGGTCTATAATTGCTGACCCAGTCAGTGTCACCCACATCCTGTGATGGAGCTTTTTTTTTTTTTTAAAAGAGCTGCAAGGCTATGTTGGCACTGAGTTGAGCTACAGCTGGCATAGTATGCACAGTTCTGGTCAGCACACTATAGGAAAGTTGTGGTTGCCTTAGATTGGTATACAGATGATTTACAGGAACATTGCCTGAACTGAAGAATTTTCTTTTGAAGAAAGATTAGATGAGCTTGTGTCACTTTTCTATGGAACAGTGGAATCCGAGGGTAGATCTATTTGAAGCTGTAGGAGCAGCTTAAGTCCCTGGTGGTTGTAAATGACATGAGTTTTTTTTCCAAGAAAGAGAATGGAGACTAGGAACGGGAGCTAGGGGTGGGTGAGAGGAACTTCAGGCTTAGCAGAAGCAGTGGGGGAAAGCAAATTGTGCTGAGCTGGAACTCTGCATTAAATGGATATGTTGATACTAAAGTAAGTTGATGTTAAACTGAGCTCTGCTGTATAAAATTGAGGGGTCTAACTGGTGCTAATTGAAAAGCAATGTCCTCTTTGGTTGAGGAGCACATAACGAGGGAGCATAGATTTGAGGTAGAAGGTTTAGAGAAGTTTCGAGGAGCTGTACGTTTACCCAGTGTGTGTTGGAGATGTACAGCTCACTGCCTGAAAGACTGGCACCAGTAAAAATGCATATTATTAAACAGTAATTGAGTTAACAGTTGAAATGCAGTAATCTGCAAGGCTATGGCCAGGACCTGGGAAAGTGAGATTAGGTTGGTAGCTGGTGTGGATGCGTTCGATTGAAGGTCCTCCTTGCTGTAAATACATCATGCCTGAGGGGGGGGGGAGAATCAGTGATCAAGAAAAGTTGTGTTGCAATTATAAAACACTAGTTACAATGCAAAACTGGTTGCTGATTTTTTTTTTTATATGAAGCATCAAATACCTTTGGTTGGACCACACAAGTAAAAGCTTCAATAGTGATTGTATACTTTTGGGGAGTGATGCTTCCAAGTTCCAGTAGTATTACACTTAGGTTAAATATGATAGATTTTTATAAGTGTCAAAATTGAGTATTTATGTCTGGTATTGGCTTCTTTACTGCAAAAGGCACTAACTCTGCCCCTCCTGATAGCTGTGCCCTTCCCCACCTTCCATTCACCTCTTTGTGATAGTCTCATGCATGAGAAACAGTTTTTGCAACAGTCCACTCGTGCTTGAGAATTATGCTTTTATTTTTTCCTTGTTGCTTTCAAATGTTAAACATCGAGTGAATGGGTCGTTGTGCTATCCTGTCCTTTTTACTTTTGTGAAAGTGCATGTTGTAAGTGGAAATGTCTGCATAAGTGATGATCCCTGTGAACACAGAGGAAACCTACAGTCCTGAAAAGGTTAAAGTGAATTGCTGCTTTGCCAGCACACATGTGATCTGGCAACTTGTTTTCTTTAAACTTGCTGAGCTTTCCAATGGTGATGTCAGGAAACAGCAAAAGCTTGAAAATGCAGCTGTTGACGTGTGGAAGGGTTGGAGACTAAAACGCTCTTCTCTTCTCTTCTCCACTCCACTCCTCCCTCACCAACAAAATAGCTTCCTGACATCTGCCAGGAGCTCAGCAAAACAAATGTCACCATTGAAACCACCAGGTACTGTTTTATCCTAAGTAGTGAAGGCTACTGTAAGTGTACTCTGATCATGTCTCTGTTTCAAAAAAAAACTAGAACACTGTTACTCAAGGTCACTCTTTCCATCCAGCGATCATCCTATTATTTTTCTTAGAAGAATTTCCTTGGCACTGTGCTGTATGCTTTTCCATTTGTCACTTCTGATTCTGTGAAATAAGTGGGGTGACTCCAGTGAATAGATTTTATTATCGAGAAATGGGAATTGGGATGAAATTATTTAGTATTCAAAACGTAGCATACAATGCAATTCTTTTAAGTTATGCAAACGATGTACTAAACATGTTGTGTGGCTATTGAGGTTACATTGTGGGATATGCCATCATTTGGATCATAGTGAAATAATTGTTTAGAGTTTGTAATTATGCATGGTTTGTGTTCATGGTTTAAAGCAATTTAGATAAGAACAGCTGGTGAGGAGTGGGCTGAGTGTTCATTTACCGACAGTAACTGTACAGACCAAGAAATCTGACATAAAGTCCAGTCATCTCTGCATGTGTATATACTAGATTGACAGTTTAGTCCTGAAATCATGTTGGATGAGGTGAACAATCGCTAGCTCATTATACTGAAAACTGATTATGACAATAGACATGCAAAACTAAAGTCAAATTCCTTTGAACATTCACAAGTGGCACATAAATGCACCTATAAATTGAACTTCTAAAGTAATGTTGAACACCATAGCAGGATGTGCTGCTTTGGGAACATGGCATTTCCAATAATCTTTGACTTTATGATGGCTGAGATAACAAGGTGTAGAGCTGGATGAACACAGCAGGCCAAGCAGCATCAGAGGAGCAAGAAAGCTGACATTTTGGGTCTGGTCCCTTCCGTTCTGAAGAAGGGTCCAGACCCGAAACGTCAGCTTTCCTGCTCCTCTGCTGCTTGGCCTGCTGTGTTCATACAGATCTACTCCTTATCTCGGATTCTTCAGCATCAGCAGTTCCTACTATCTCTTTGATGGCTCTCGTTTTCATAGATAGAAAACAAATTATCTTATTCTCCCGTGGAGATGCTCTAATTTGAGTGAGATAGAGCCCTCTTTCATATGTAAAATTGAGGTAATTAAAAATAAATGTGTTTTCCTTTCTATGGATGTAATGGAACTAGTCCTTTTTATGAGCTGGCAGTAACCTGATTTTCTTTTGTGCTAAATAATGCTAAATCTATTGGATTTCAGGTCCAACTAACTTTGGGTGATAGCAAAGATTTTTTGGTGCCTTCATTTCCAGAGTCAGCTGGAAGAAATTGGAAATATTTCCCTTAGTTTTTTTAAATTCCAAGTATTGAGGTTTGATAGATATCAATTGAGAAGAAAAAAGCTTCTGATGGATGATTGATTAACTTCCTGTGTGATTAGCTGACTGACTGTCCTGCTCTTGTGCCTCGAGGAGCGGGAGCAAGAACTTGCGATGCTTCGAGGTAAGACTGGTGGAAACAACCCCTGGGTGGAAAAGAAGGCATCCAAGCCATGCACAGGTCCAGAGGAATCCACTTTGGTAAATAGGAATATTATTTTTCCCTCCTCGCAAATCACTTGACTAACACCATCTTGTAGAAAATTTACTTGGCTTTCCATTTAGAGATAATTGGTGTCTCTTCACTTTCACAGTTGGTATCAGTTTCTGGCATAATTTCCTGGAGTTGTGAGCATTTTAATGAGTGCAATTTTTGCTCTTCAAAAGATTTATTTGGAATAAATGTTTTCCAAAAATGATCTAAAAGATTTTTTAACTTTTATTTTTTGCCCTCTTTTTATAAAGTCTTTGATAAATCAATTCCTCCTAACTTTCAAAATTTTAGATCATAGTATGAGATTTTAGATAACCTGAAGAAACAAATTTTCTAATAACCAGGTTGTGATCTAGTGCTGACGGGAATCCTGGTGCTTTGGACAGAAAAAAACATTTATATTAAATGAACACGCTTAAAAAATAATTCACATTGCTTGCTTATGCAAGCGTTCTTTTTCTCAGTTCTGATATTTTGGATTTCTTTCTAACCAAGTGTTGCTTCTCCATTTCCAAAATGATAAGACCCACTGTTATGACCTTAGCTGACATTACTGGGTAAGTCAGATCTCTGGCACAAATTTGGCTTAATTTGTTGCTTTTATTTTGAGGCGGTCTCTCACTGAAGTATAAGCACCAAGTACTGAAGATTTGGTTTTAACAGTAAAAGTTTATTTCCCAAAAAAATGAAGATAAAACCAACTGATCCAAGCTTTTTATGCAGTACACAATTAAAGATTTCAAAATTCACAACAAAAAAATCCCATTCATTCCAAAACATGCTTTATGGATGCCAAATGTTTACACTGTTTGCACCAAAGAGAATCTCATTCTGTATCATCTATGTTTAATTTAATTGTCACTTTGACACCCAGTCTGGAAAATCAGAGTCTCTTTATGAAGCCTACATACAACTGAGCTTAAACTTTCTCGACTTCAAATAAAACCTTTCAGGGTTTTATCCAAATATTTCTGGTCTAGAGCTATTACTAAACTCCATACTCCCTGAGAGAATTTTTTTTAACGACATAAACTATCTTCTCCCTTTTTCAGGAACAAAAGCATTATGTAGCCATCTTCACCTAACTATTCTACAGAACTGTCCCAAATTTAAAACTGTGGTTTTTTTTTTTCTCAGCTTGATTATTTTTCCCCCCCCCAATTTTTTTTCTTTCCAGTTGTGTGGGCCTCCAAGTTTGTTGCATGGCAGTGACTTTTGGAACCGGAAGTCAATGCTGCAACTAGTGTGCTGCACAGCTTGGAGGAAATGTTGTCTTACAATTGATTATTAAACCCCTTCAGACACACGTGTGTTGCGCACAACCTCGTATGCCACCAGTTCAAGTTCAACAAAGTAAAAGTTAATGCGTGAAAATGTCATTCCCTACAGTTCACAATGAATGTCCACACATCAATTTCCCAGTTTTAAAAGATAAAACTCAGTTGAGTATGATTATTGGGCCCCATAAATATGAACCATTTAACTCAATAACACTTGAGTGCCACTTAGGAAAAACTGCATTCACTTTGCAAATTGAACCTACTGCATTCCTCTTGATTCATGAAGTCTGTTCTTTTTGCTTTTTGTATTGGAGGATGGGTTTTTAAGCACTCATTAAAACTTGAACTTGCTATCAATAACTGGACTATACAAATAGGTAGATTTGCAGGAAGTGATTTCTAGAAAAAGGTGCCTGCATGTTTAAACTTGGTGATACGGCATTTTAGTTTGGAAGCCAGCTGCATGTTGCTTGGTGAAGGTTCACCACAGAAAATACATCAACACTTAATACAATGGAAATGATGTTGAATGTGCTGAGTATGACCTGTTACAGGGAACATCTAGAGTAACTTGCATAGAAAGGAGGATCAGGAAAGGTCTGGGCCACTTGAGCATGCCAGTGGCAGAAGTGAACTCTGAGCAACTTCCAAATACAAATGAAATAGTCACAGTAAGTTGATCTATAGATTTGAAAACTAAATTTGAAACTGTACTTGTAATTGAAAACTGTACCATTTTTTTGAGGGACCAATATTGTGACTAGCTGTTTTTTTTTTTTATTTTGGTGATGTTTGGAGCTGTAATTTTAATAACTGAATACATCTGCACGTTTGGTGCAAGTTGATAATTTAAACCACCACTTCACCATGACAGAAATTTGTGCTTTAAAACTTTAACCCTTGAATTGTGCTGAATTAAGGGCACGTGTTAGAAATGTGCTTTTTTTTATTAAACAATGGTTCTCAAGTCATTATCGTGACATTTTAAATCTCTTGCCTTTCATAAGATGATTACATTAATTGAATGATTTACATATCATTTGATTTGTCCTACTACCAGTGAACATTCTATATACATCAATAAATAGAAAGGAATGTAATACTTAACTTTTTTGCACATGTGCACAACTGAAGAGGTGCAGGTCAACCAGTGCTGAATTAGTTATTTGTGCAGTTGCAAATAAACCTAAATTTATTAATCCAGTTTGTAGTTGTGAGACTGCATTATGATAAAAGAAGCAGCAGTCTTCTCCCTGTGTCCCAGTTGAAGAATAATTTACATAGTAATTTTGAGTGATGTGCTTAATTGGCCTCTTTAAATTGGGTGAAATCACTTCTTCTTTACATCTCCTGAACATTGGATTACAAACATGACTTGTTTCTTTGGTTGTGTCTAGTATTTTGTAATAATTCTTCATTTTACTGTTTTCCCTCTTATAACAAATACAAGTTGTTCACTAACTGTTTTGTTTTAGCACTAGTTGCAGCATTTCTTGTGCCCATCTATTTCACAGGCCTTGAAGGCATAAAATCCAGGAATGAAGGACAAGAACAAAACATAAATAGGCAAAATTTTGAGCATACATGGGAAGGAGATAACAGCAGTGTGAATCTACTTTCAGCAATTGCTTTAGATTTTGATTGTTTTAATCAATTAAAAGCAGATGTTACTCAGAACTGGATTGCCTGGAGGTTGTGAATTTATTTAGCAGTTTTGTTCTGTAAATTTGCATTACTTGTCACTGACGATACTTACTTCCTTTCTTTTACGAGTTCACCCTTTTAAATAAAAAAACAAATGTCAGATATATCTGAGATGCTAAATTGAACACCAATCTGGCCTTCAGATGGGTAGCAGAATAGGGAGGTCCCCTAGTAGTCTAGCCTATATCTGCATACTGACTACTTGTTCAAGTAGAATATCTGATTGCTTAGTTTGTTTTGTGTGAGACTCCTTTTGTTTTGCACAAATTGGCTAAGCATCTCTCTACACCATGACTCACGACACTTCAATACAGTTTCATGGGTTATAAAGCTCTGTCCTGTGGACATATTATGTAAAAAGAGCTTACGTTTTGATTCCCTCATTAGATATGTCACTTTTAGTTTTTGTAAGGAATTTTTAACTGCCTGTGTCAGGTTCTCAAAAATATTCAATTCTCTACATGATCTAGGAGGAGTTGAAGGGGAGTACAAAAGCTCAAGAGAACACTATTGATGACACCGACACTATTACAGATTTGGAACACAATGAAAAGTATGAAGAGATACTCCAGATTACTGAAGGTAAAGGTCTGAATACTATTCATTCTTATCGATTATCAACTAATAAGCTCCAGTCACAACTGTTCAATAGACAGCTTGTATGCTACTTGCTGACAGCTAATTCCTTTATGCTGCATTTGTCTTACATTAGACTGTATTTACATTCACGAGGCCTCTGTCTTACTACTTCGTGCTGTTAAAATTGAGCTTCAAATTGATATTTCACTCAAGTCATCTTTGTCGAACCTTAACTCGGCTATTTTTGTCCTGAAGTTTGCATTGATATTGGGAAGGTCATTAAAGATAAAGGACCTGAGTTTTTAGGTAGCAGTGTTCTCATACATGAGCAAGGCTCAGCTTCTTTTACTACTTTGAATTAAACGCACAACAGGGATGAAGCTGGGCAGTCATATCCCTATTTCTCCTTCTAACTTTAAATTCCAGCATAGAAATGTTTGCGACTGACAGATGTACATTGAAATGGTTCATAGTGATTGCCCAAAGTGGAGATAAGATGGGTGACTTATTAATTTCAACACTCTCTCTAGTATACTGTCTTAAATTTTGCATTTCCTGGAGCGTTACGATGGAAGATGTTAGGTTTACATATATTCAGTAATGTGTAACAATTGTGAAATGTTCATCCCAAATTTAGGTGAATGCAAGGTGGAAGCACCTATGGATTGGTCGACTCCTCTCAGGAAGGTTACTTTTGCATTAGAACCACAAACCATTCCATCGCCAGAATATGTAGAAACTGAGAGCGATGAGAATGAGAAGTGCATCTCTGAGATGGGTATGAGAATTTTGTAATGTCCCCTGATTTTCAAATTATATAAATAACTTTAAATGCTGAATTTTTTTTTCAATTGGAGGAATGGACAGAAAGCTTGTCCCAATTTTTGTGGTGTTTGCAAATAGGAACTGTAGTGAGTTCTCACGAATTGCCCCTATAATTCATTCAGTAGTAGAAAGGAAAACAGATTGCTCCACCACAAACTAGAAGGGAGGAACCAGTGTTAATTCAGAACAGGGTTGGGGTGGAGAGAGAAGAGTGAAAATGGATAATTTTGATTTAATGAAGCAAACCTTTCCTGTGCACAGTGTAGCATATGTACGCTTGTCTCTAAGTATAATCCTGCTCCAGAAACACATTGCTGAATAAGTAGGGAAGCCAACAAGTTGAGTTCTGTCGAGTATTAATTGAATCTTTGGGAAATGAGTGAATCATAACTTATTCTGGCAATTCCTACAATTTATCCTTTCCAGACATCTATGTTCAATATCCATACTTTTTTATAAAATTATTACATCAGGATAATATTTAAGCTTCAGTTTGTAACTTTAACATATTGAGTACTTTATAAAACTGAGCTTTTTCACCCAGTGACTCTTTAAGAAAAGTGTCACTCGACTACATTGACAAAGAGCCCAATGTTGTACTGTGCCGATTGGCACACCATTCTGGCATTTTTACTCTTTTAAGTGGTTAGAAGTTGGGTTTCCAGCTTCTGAATTCTTTCCAGAGGCCTCATGAGTGTATGTATGCTTTGCATAAATATGGCTTGATTAGTTTCCTAGAGTCAAATAGACTGCTGCTAACAGTGCTGATTTGAAAAAGATTGCACTAGAACTGTTATCATTGTACATGTCTTGATTTAACTTTCCTGTTGTTAAAGAAAAATGAATTGTTATTTTAAAAAAAACTCCAATTTTCAGTAAAGTGGAAAGCAAAAGCTAGTCTCCTGTCTCTAATCTCTAGTAGGTATTTGTGTAAATTGATCTTGTTTCATTATTGCTTTCTATCTTAAAACTAGAATCCAGCTCCCAGGAAGAATTGAACAACTCTGAACTAATTGATAAGCTGTTTGAAGGTGTACTCGACTCAGACAGGATGGAAGAAGGAATTGAACCTGAGGCTAAAGAACCAGCGATGGCAAATTTGAAAAAATCCAAAGCTGAGGATAAGGGTGAGGAAGTCAAGTCTGAAGCTGAGGCAGAGCTGAAAAACTCTAAAGCTGTGGATCAGAGTGATGAGACAAAGGCTAAAGCTGAGGCAAAAGATCAAAAAGAAGACGATGATCTGACTTTACCCAGCATCTCCATATTGTCTCCGCTTGCTAAATCCATCAAGTTGGATGCTGCATCTCCTCTAGTGAGTGTGCTTCCCTGAATTTTCAATGGTGGCTTTTCTCTTTAAAAAAGTTCTAATTGGTTTTTTGTACTGGAGTACATTTAACTTGGTTGAAAATTGATGTCTGTGATCATGTAAAGCAATTCTATACACCATACAGTCTGTTTGCCTAAGCAGGTAATTAACTTGAATAGGTACAGGGTGTGGAGAGCTCAAACTGGCTTGGGAGTAGGCCATTCAGCCTGTCCGCCATTTGATACCATTATGGCTGAATTGTTCAATGCCTCTTACCCAACCTGTCTCCATAACCCTTTACATCATTGTATTCAGAAATTATCAATACATGTAGTTCTGCTATAACGTGTGTTTCATTAACGCAAATTGGCTGTAACACAATTGAGTAGTGAACGCTGTTCACGTAATGCAAACTTTCTGCTGTACAGATATAGAGATTTCCCTATAACGCGATTGTCTATGGCTATTTTCTATAGCACAAGGTCACACAAGAACGCAGCTATTGTGTTATAGGAGAACTATCTGTATCTTTAAGCATCCTCAAAAACTAAGCTTTCACAACCCTCTGGGGTAGAGAATTCCAGAAGTTCACAACTGAGTAGATCAAATTCTTCTGATCTCAGTCCTGGGTGGCATCTCATTTTATTTTTAAATTGTGACTGCTGGTTTTAGACTTCCCAGCCAGTTGAAACATTTTATCTGCATCTGCCCTGTCTACCCCTGTTAAGTATTTTAAGTTTCAATGTAATCCCCTCTCCTTCTTTGATACACGAGTGACATAGGTATTGTTTTCCCGATTGCTCTTCATAGGATAGTCCTGACATTCTGGGAGCAAGTCTGGTGAACACTTTGATGTACTCCCTCTATGGTGATTATTACCCTTCTTGACATAAGAGACCTAGGTGAAGTTTAACCAAACTTCTACTCCATTGTTGCAAGACTTCACTGCTCATGTACTCAAATCCTCTTGCAATAAAGACTAAGGTTCCATTAGCCAATGTTACGACAAAGAGATAGCCATATTAAATCAGTCTCCAAGTCCTGATATTTGCAATACAGTAAAATCACAGCATTTGATGACATTCAAAATTACCCCTATGGTTCCTAACCAGACAGTTTGAATAACTGATACCAGACACCAAGTTTGTAACTTAAACAAAATAATTAATAATTCATTATTAATCCAGTAACTTTAGTTGAGCAAAGTTAAACCACAAGATAATCTAATCAATGTATGATTGATTTCAATCGTCTTTGCTTCTAACCTCTGTTCTCGCGTAGACAGACACAATTAAGTGATTAATTAGAAGAAAAATAAGAGATGTTAAGGCTAATTAACTTAAGTGGTTTCCATGAAGCAGTGTCACAGACACATGGGATCGTATCTTGCTTGATTTCTGAAGATCCTAATCAATGCAAATAGCTTCCAATAAGCTCTGAGGGATATTCATTTAATTCGTAAAGCTGAGATTCTGTTCTCTGAACTTTTGATTAATGGGAGGCTAACCAGGGGGCAATCAAACCTCTGTTCTGTGGCTTTAGCAGCCAAAATCCTGACCAAAAAAATACTAGTTCAAACTTTAGTACCTCTTTTTTTTTTTTTTTTTTTTTTTTTCTAATTTTTTTTTTTAAACTGGTAGGTGCTGGCCTTCCTGCGATGGCCCCTATTAACATCTCAACATCTGCCAACACTTGAGTACAATGCACCTCCGGAGCCAAAATGCCTATAGCGTTCTCTGAACAAGAATCAGCCCACAATGGACTTATAGGTCAGGTCCTATAAACAAAAGTTTTTGTTCTCTTTTTTTTTTGTTTTAAAACAAATAGCTGCTCACAATCCAATGCTCACTTCCAATTCTCCACTCACTGTTTGAATCAAAAATGATCTTTTTTTTTAAAAAAAAAAGTGTGGGTTACAACCCCTTTCTAATAGCATGCTGCAGATTAGCCTTCTGGGACTTATTAACAAGGACACCCAAGTCCCTTTTCTACACCTAGATTTTCCTACCTGTTGCCATTTAAGAAATGTTCTGTGCATTGGTTTCTTCTACTATAGTGGACAATCTCATTTTTTTCCCTATTATATTCCATCCACCAAGTTCTTGCCCACTCTTTAAGCTCGACCAAATCCTCATCCTCGTAAAACACATACTGAATAAAAACCAAAAGAACTGTGGATGCTGTAGATCAGGAACAAAGACAAAGTTGCTGGAAAAGCTCAGCAGGTCTGGCAGCGTCTCTGAAGAAAAAAAATCAGAGTTAATGTTTCTGGTCCGGTGACCCTCCTTCAGGTCTCGGTACTTGCTTAGCTTTGCATCAAAACCAAATTTGAAATGCAGCAAATATTTTATTAACCAACATCTGTGGGACCCAGAATTTCCAGTTGATCTAGAGGTCCATATAATCAATGTAAAATCACACTAAGTAATAGAAATGTAATGCAGGGGGTATACACATCGTTGTTATGCTCTATTTACAACTCAAATCACTTATTTAAAGCAAAGTTGCATTATTTAAAAGTTAACAGCAGAGAGCTTTTTCATCCCCCACCTTCAGCTAACTACAAGGACAACATGGAGATCGTAATAATATGGTATTCGTCCAGTATTTGGCACAATATTTGCCTGTTTATCGAGGGTGCCAGTTAAAACAAACTTTGCTGTGTTAGATTTGGTCCACACATCCCAATCATGTGTATATATTGTAAACAGCTAGGACCTAAGTATTGATCCTTGTGCTACATCACTAGTCAGTCTTGCATTGGCAGGCTGGGACCCATTCATTCCAATCTGTTTTTTGTCTGTTAGGTAATCTGTCATCAATGCCGGTATATTATCTCCTAATGTTTTGGAGTAGATTTGTAGCTCGGGTTGTGGGTGTTTTGGTTGGCTCGCGGAGCTGGTTTGTTGTTTCGCAGACGTTTCATTACCATGCTGGGTAACCTCATCAGTGCAGCCTCCAATGAAGCGCCAGTGTGCTTTCCTGCCTGGTTTTTAAACTCTGGAGTCCGTTGAGCTGGATTGCCTCATTCCAGTTTTCCTTCGTAGTGGAGTGTATATGGGGTCGAGTTCTATGTGTTTATTAATAACATGCTTCATGGAGTGCCGGGCTTCTAGGAATTCCCGTGCCTGTCTCTGCTTTGCTTGTCCCAGGATTTTGGTGTTGTCCCAGTCAAATTGGTGGTTCTCTCTATCCATGTGGATAGAGATGAGTTCATTGCTTCAGATTGAACTACCTCACTTTCAAACCTAATGTAAAATTCTGTCATTATGCTCACTCATACCTAAAGTTCTTTTCCCAATAAGGTTATTAATTTGCCGTTTTCATTGTGTGTGCTAAATCTAAAATAGTCTGTCCTCTAGTTGCTTCCTCAATGTGCTGCTCTACGAAAACATCTAGAAACTTGTCCACAACTTTCGTGCTCAATTGGTTAACCCAGTTGATGAGATTGAAGTCAACTATGATTGTTCCCCACAACCACTACTATAAATAACTCTGCTGCCCTTTGCAGTTCATTAGCTCCACGCAAACAGATTGCATACGTTGATCTTCTGCTCTGCCACCCTCTCTTACTGATGTACTGGTCCTATCCTTCATTATTAGTGCAACTTTCTTTTTTATTTTTGTCTGTCCTTTTCTAAATGTCAGTTATGCTCGAGTCTTGTGTTTCCAGTCCTGGTCACTGTGCAGCCATGTTTCTGCAATGGGAATTTAGATTGTATCCATTTATCTGAATGTGTGCTTTCAGATCCTCTCATCGCGAATGTTGTGTTAATTTGGGTAGACTACTGTTTTATAGCTTTTGACATCATTCTGCATTTAAAACATCCTCTTTCATTTTTGTTTCTCCTGTTTTCTTATCTTCCCCCTCAGCTTTCCTACTTGCTGATACCAACTTTACTTCCTTTTTAATTTGGGTTAACACGCTGCTTCCCCCTCACAAGCTAGTTTAACTTCACCCCAATAGCACTAGCAAACCTCAATGTGAGAATATTAGTCCCCGTCCTGTTAAAATGTAACACATCTAACCTGTACAGATACCACCTTCACAATTGGTTCTACTGCCTTAGAAATTTGCCCCTCCTCCTACATCAGTTCTCCATCCACTGCCAATCCAGATGATACCTCAAGTGAAGTTGGTTTTAGCTTTCTGTATCTGTATAAATCATCTTTAATTTAAGACATTTGCATTTTATTTCTTAAATCTTGGAGATAGTAAGAACAAATATCTATCCTATTAGGATAGGCGCCTAGCTGAGGTGTGGGAGTAGGGGCTCCCTAACTTCCACATTCTGACCCTGAACCATGTCATAGCATAGATGACCAAACATTATTAAACTTAATCAGCAACATGTCAAAAATCTTATCCCAAATCTTAAATGTATTACAGTTGGAATGAGGTTTTAAAAGTTCAGAATAGCTTAATTTTGTGTTTTTATTTTTTAAAAAGAAAACTGAGCTCCATAAGAAAGTCAACAGCAAATAAAATAGGAATGGGACCATGTCTTTCACATTTTTAAAGAAAAAGTAAAGGGAACACTTAGTGGTTGAGGGGATCAAGGAGCAGTTGCCTATTGGAGTGGATTACTAATGTCAAGTAGATAAATTTCAGTCTCTTTAAAAAATTAGTAAGATTGTTTAGAAAAAAATTCACTGGGTCAAAGAGGTCTACTGTAGTTGTTTAACCATTTGTAGAAATTTAGCCTTGTTGATAAGCTGTCAAACTGCTTATAGTATATTCATTGACTTGGCCATTAATCCTGTTAGTTGAGTACATAAATTCAACATTCATTGGATTTACATAGCCTATTTAATATCCCTTTTACAATGCCCAAGTAGGTTGGAATACTTGCAACATGCCTCAAGTTTCTTTTGCTTCCTCTTTTTGTACCTGGTAGGCTGCGGTAGTTGCATCATTAAACAATGGCCTGACTGAATCCTGCTGCTCACTCTATTCGTCACTCGAACTCCATAATTCTGGGCAGGACCGAGATCGAGCTGGAAATCTTCTACAAGCAGTGGAAAATGCACCATTATACAGGTAATTTATCCCCATGAATATTAGATTATAGATGTATTTTGACACACAGCAACTTTTAAAGGTTGAGCCCTTAAACAGTTTAAACAAGTTGTGTAATGGTTCCTGTTTCAAAAAGGATTTGTGCAAAAAATCTCTTGACTTAGGTGGTTACCTGTTTGGGTCAAGTTTTAATAGACTGATTTAGTAGATTTTTTGTTTTTTTTTTTTTGCTTGGAACTAATTTTGGGCTTTGGTTACCTCTTTTCCAAGTCATTGTGCATAAGGGCAGGATTAAGCCGTTTACCCTGTTCTGCCATTCGATGCATTCAGGCTGTCTGTATCTCTACTGCATCTACCTGCTATAGTTCCATATCGAATGAAGTCCTTGAGCAAAAATTCTCTTACTCGGATTTAAAGTTATTGGAGTCAGTATATTTTTGAGGGTGTTTTTATAATTCTATCCTCCTTTTGTGCGACAAGGCATTGCATTCCTGTTAGTGAAAGGTAGAGGCTGGTAAGATTAGGGAACAATGGAAGAATAAAGATATTGAGGTTCTAGTCAAGAATAAAAATTAACTATCTATTAGATATAGACAAGTAGGATGAAATAAATCTCTTGCAGAATATAAAGTGTGTAGGGGCATTCTTAAGAGAGAAATCGGGAAGGCAAAGAGGGGTTATGAGACAGCCTTGACAGATAAGGTTAAACATAATCCCAAGAGATTCTGCAAATAGACTTAAGAGTGAGAGATTTTTTAGACTGAGAGCAGGGGTCCTTTGAAGATCATGGTTTTTGTGTTGAATCTGAGGAGATGGGAGAAAGAAATGGAAGTTAGAGAACTCTGGGGAAATAAATATTGATATTTTGAAAACAGTTCACATTACAGAAGAGGAAGGTCTTAGAAAACAAAAGTGGATAAATCTCTGGGACCTGATCAAGCGTATCCCAGGATGTTGTGGGAATTTAGGGAGGATATTGTGGGGCCCCTAGCAGAAGTATTTTGTATCATCTGTAACCATAGGTGAGGTGCTGGAGAACTGGAGGGTGGGTAGTGTTCTGCCTTCATTTAAGAAAGGCTGTAAGGAGAAGCCTGGGAGCTATGGACCAGAGTCTGACGTCGGTGATGGGTAAGATGTTGGAGGTGATCCTGAAAGATAGGATTTACATGCATTTGGAGAGGCCAGGAATGCAAGGGAAATCATGTCTCTCAAACTTGATTGAGTTTCTTGAGGATGTAACCGAAAATATCATTGCCTACCACTCTGTCCTCAATGTTGACTTGGACTTTAAAGCCTTTGATAAGGTTCTGCATGGTAGACTAATTACAGTTAGATCACATGGGTTTCAAGGCGAGCTTGCCAATTGGATACAAAATTAGCTTTACGGTAGAAGACGGTGGTGGTGGAGTGTTGTTTTTCGGACTGCAGACCTGTAACCAGTGTTCCACAGGGATTGGTACTGGGTCCACTTTTCTTTTGTCATTTATATAGAGTCAGCATGAAAACAGATCCTTCAGACCAAATTGTCCACGCCGACCAGCTATCAAATTAATCAGTCTGACTTGCCAGCATTTGGCCCATATCTCTCTCAACCCTTTCTGTTCAGCCTCCTCCACTTCCTCTGGCAGTTCATTCCGTATTAAACATCACCCTTTGCATTGAAAGGTTGCGACTTAGGCACTTTTCCCCCTCTCGGCTTAAACCTATGCACCCTAGTTTTAGACTCCCCTACCCTGGGAAAGATCATGGCTATTCACCCTATCCGTGCACAACATGCTCTTCTAAACCTCTATAACATCACGCCTCAGCTTCCAAAGCTCCAGGGAAAATGGCCCCGAGCCTGTTCAGCCTCTGCCTATAGCTTTGGACCCCTCAACCCCGGCAGCATCCTTAAACCTCTTTTGAACTTTTTCAAGTTTCACAACATCTTTCTTACAGCAGGGAGACTAGAATTGAATGCACTATGCCAAAAGTGGCCTAACCAATGTCCTGTACAGCTGGAACATGATATACCAACTTTGTTCTCGATGCCCTGACCAATAAAGGCAAGCATACCAAATGCTACCTTCAATACCCTGTCTACCTGTGACTCCACTTTGAAGAAGCACTGAACCTGGACCCCAAGAGACCTCTCTCTAAATAAATGATTTAGATGAGGATATTGAAGGCATGGTTAGTAAGTTTGTGGATGACACCAAAATTGGCAGTATAGCCGACAGTGAAGAGGGTTATCTACGATTACAAAAGAGATCTTTATCAATTGGGCCAATGGGCTGAAGAGCTGCAGATGGAGTTTAATTTGGGTAAATGCAAGGTTTTGCATTTAGGTAAAACAAACAAAGGCAGGACTTGTACAATTAATGGTAGGGCTTGGTTGGTATTGTAGAACAGAGTGGACTAGGAGTTCAGGTATATAATTCTTTGAAACTTGTGTCACAGGTAGACGGGATGGTTAAGAATGAGTTTAGTATGCTTGCCTTCATTGCTCGGACCTTTGAGTATAGGTGGTGGCACATCATGTTGAGTTTGTACAGGACTTTGGTGAAGCCTGTTCTGAAGTACTGTTTCTGGTCACCCTGCTATGGGAAGGATATTATTAGGCTGAAGAGAGTTCAGAAAAGATTTACCAGGATGTTGCTGGGAATGGAGGTTTGAGTTATAAAAATAGACTGGGACTTTATTCACTGGAGCGTAGGAGGTTGAGGGGTGACCTTTTATAGAGGCTTATAAAATCATGAGGTGCATAGATAAGGTGAATAGCAAAGTCCTTTTCCCTAAGGTGAGGGACTCCAAAACTAGAGCATATTTTTAAGGTGAGAGAAAGTTTTTCAAAACGGATATGTGGGACAATTTTTTTAGTGATTTGTAGAATGAACTGCCAGAGGAAGTGGTGGATGCAGCTACAGCTTACAATGTTTAAAAGATATTTGGATAAGGACATGACCAGGAAAGGTTTAGAGAGAGATGGGTCAAACACAGATGGATGGGACTAATTTAGTTTTAGTCCATGCTGACCATGTTCTCATTGGGTCGAAGGGTCTGTTTCCTAACTTCTGGATGCCCTGATTTTGGTATTTAAGGCCATGTCTTGTATTCAATTCCTGAGCAGGAAGGGTAGAGTTTTTCCTCTCTTGGCTGGAGAGTAGTGGGGTGTCTTACTGTGGGTTTCATTTTCGAAAACAAGCACCTAATGTTTCATGGGCTCTTTGAAGCTTACTTGCTGATGCAAAAAAAGATTTTTCCATTAGGCCACACATTGTTTGGAAAAAAATGAGGAATTATGGAGGCCTTTTTAATTCCTTCGTGGGATGGAGTGTCTGGCTAGGCAGCATTCATTGCCCATCCCTAAATGCCTGGGGAGGCAGTTGAGCTTTCTGTGGGTCTGGAGTCACCTGTTGGCCAGACCGCGTCAGGATGGCAGCAATTGGCATTTAATGCGTGCTTCAGGGCAGCCGTTGCTGCTTCTGAGCTCTCAATCCCACTGGGAGATAATAAATTTGTGAAGCCCTATCCTAAACTGTCAAACCAACAGAGAAGTTTCTTTTGTCTGCCTAATTTCAATCCAGCCACCTAGCTGCATACAAGCCAGGGAATAGAAACCAGCATTATATAATCTTTCCATCTAATGTGAAGCATCAGGGAATTTGGAGAAGAGGTAACAATGAGCGAGTTGTAATGACCTCTTTTAATCCGGGGTCCCTTTTTTTACCCTGAGGTTTAACAAATGCTTTTTCTTTAATGTAAACACCTTCCAAAAATCATACAAATTGCATCCAGTAACGATCCCCTGACTGCAGCTTCACTTATTTAGTTATTTAGGTTTGGTGGATGTAACTCTGAAATTGTGGATGAAGACTTCTTATGTGGTGGTATTGGTTGAGTGCTGAGATTGGAAAGAGGAGGAAGAATGGGTTCTTGATTTTGGTTTTCTGACTCTTAAAAAGAGATCAGAAAATCTTTTGTTTCGAACAGACCCCTAAAGACAGCATTTCCAAATTTCACACATTTCGGCAAAATGACTGGCAAGTCACCATGGAGATAATTGCTAAGATCTTTGCTGACTTGACATTGCAGCCAGAAGAAGAATTATTTAGACAGAAACTAATTGAAAGAGAAGAATACTGAACAGTGAAGGAGCTATTATTAGCTGTCCAAACGGTCGTACTAGGAAAAAGTCCTGAGTTGCTTTTGAAGGCTGTGGAAGTTTCAGAGAAAAGACCTCCAACAAGGCTACCAATGTCCGTAGTTTAAGGAGCCCATGTCCAGGGTTACGTGAATTCGGTTACGTCTAACCTCTCCCTGACAGATGTTCATCTGAAGGGTCTGTAATTTGCTGTATTTTCTCTCTCCCGTTAAAAATAGTTACATTTGCAAATTTCCAATCTTGCGGGGCAATTCCTGAACCAGTCTTTGAAGACTGTGTAGCTGACGTATTTGCAATTTACTCCACCTACGTGATAAACCTGATGTGGAAAACCAGTGTATTCTGGGATTTGTCATCCTCTAGTATTATTATTTTGATTTAAGTTCTGTTTTCTTTCTTGCACTCGCTTTCATCAGTTGCAATCCTTGATTCCTTATTTTGCTCTAATATCAGGTGCATAATCTTCCTTGACTGAAGACTAATACAAGTAGTTAAGTTTTCCAATATTCACTTTGATATTACCACATCTGTGTTTTCTAAAGAGCCCACGTTATACTTTTTGCTCCTACTTTCCTTTAGAAAACAATTGATCTTAAAATGTCTCGGATGTTCTGGTGTTTCTGCAGCCCACACTATCCTTTTTGTCTTCCTTTTTATTATTTATATTTCTCCCATTGTCTGAATTTGCATTTTTATTTGCTCTGTGTTTTTCTTTTAGCTTGTTACTTTAACTATTTTGTCAAGCGTGACTTGCTTTTGGCAAGTACAGCTTTCGCAACTTGGCATTATATATTCATCATAGAATCCCTACAGTGTGGAAACAGGCCCTTCAACCCAACAAGTCCATACCGACCCTCGACATCCCACCCAGATCCACACCCCTATAACCCACCTAGTCTACACATCCCTGAACACAAGGGCAATTTAGCATGGCCAATCCACCTAGCCTGCATATCTTTGGACTGTGGGAGGAAACCCACGCAGACACTGGGAGAGTGTGTGCAAACTTCACTCGGACAGTCGCCCGAGGATGGAATCGAACCCTGGTCCCTGGTGCTGAGGCAGCAGTGCTAACCACTGAGCCTCTGTACTGCCCAGATTATGTTTTTTTAAAAAAAAACAGTCTAGTCTGTATAGTTTTACCTGAGGTTTTGAACAATTTGCTATCATTGCCTCTAGTTCAACATCAAAGTTAATGTTACCAAGATCATCTGCAATATTTTCTAAGTGTCTCATCTTCAAAACCTTAACACTGTGCAGTTTTGAACTTTATTTGAAACTTCAATTAGTTTTCTGGCCACTGTCTTCCCAGTGTCAAAGCCTATGGCGTTGCCTTCAAATCTAACAACTCTGATTCTTATGTAATCATTTTAATACACTTTACTTAATTAGCAGCAAGTCTCCTTAACAGCACTTTGATATATTTTTTGAAAATTACCGGTGCATCCTCGGCATTTGTCAATTTACTGTTGTTTTACTTGAATACTCTTAAAGTAACCTAATTTTTAAACTATGCTGGAGCTCTTTTAACCATAGCTTTAATAGAATAATTGATTTTGGTTTCGTCTTGTCCCTGGCAGCTCACCTGATGTTAAGCTGTCTCATCTGCAGTTACTTACCTTCTGTCTTTTTTTTTTTTTTTTTTTTTTTTTTTTTGAACAGAAGCATTGCATTAGGAACCCTTCCATTGCTGGCACAGCTTCCATGCATACATCCACTTGAAAAATTCTAGTTACAGCCCTCGCTTCCCTTGATTTCCCTCTCACTATTTTGGGGTTCATGTCATTGGTACAGGGTGCCTTATTCAAAGTTACCAATATATCACTCCTTTTTAAAAAAATCATGTATAAATATATTTGTGCTTTGTGTGCATGTATCAAAGCACTAAAACTGTCCAAACCTGAGTGGATGTTCCCTTTTTCTGTCTTCAGTATTGATTTGTATAGAACTCAACGGCGTAGTGCTCGGCTGCGAGAAAAGAAAAATGAAGGCACCAACAAAGCTGTTACCCAAAAATCAGCAGAAGGTTCTCGGCTGGTGACACAGCAGGTGACCACAAAAGAGAAAATAAAGGTGTGGAGCAAGCTATTATTTAAAACTATTTACTGGGGTTTTGACCAATGTAGTAAAATTTGTAAAAGGTACTTTTTTTATTGTTGACTTATTTTTGGAAACATTTTCAGGTTTTACTTTGATTCACAAAGGAATGTCATAGGTAAAATATTGGAAACTGAGAAAATCCTTTTCTAAAATTTTGAATATTGGTAAGCATTATCACTGCCCTAAATAAGGCATTTAGGTGGTGAGACGTTGGGCTGCATCCTGTTGGAGCACTGATAACTAGACTTTACCGCCACCTTTAGCTATAATTTGATACAAGTGCAAGGGCAATGAGGCATCTGGAACCCTGATCAACAGGACCAGCAGTGAATGTCCTTAACCAGTGTGATTCAGTCTGAGAAATAAATAGTAATGGGAAAAGAAATATAATAATAAATCAAATTGATTACAGAAAGGGGGACAGAAATTGGAAAAGGAAAAATTATTTTTAAATGTCTTCAGAGCAGTTCACTGCATAAAGTAATGAAGCTGCTTTGTTAAATCTCTCCTTTCAAGGCTAGAGAGCTGATTGGCATCAGGTTTAGAATTCTCATGTACCTGAAGCTGTGTTTGTCCATTTAAAAAAAATTACAGGAAGCCAATTAAAGTGCAAGTCCTGCATGTTTCTAAAAATAACAAAGTTGTGGTCATGAAACCATCTGCGCAAAACAACATGCAAAATTTATACTTTCTTCCAGATACTTAATGATGAGATTATCAAGTTGAACAGCATCATGCATCAGGCCAGCCAGGCACTAAACTGCTGTACGGATGAAGAGCATGGTAAAGGCTCACGAGAGGAAGCAGAAGCAGAGCGTCATTTACTTATTGCTTGTGAGTAATAAGGGAATAGCAGAGAACCAAAACTAGCAAAGTGTGATTATAGGAAGGTAAAACTGCACCATAGTTTGAAATAGACCAATGGCGGAATAACTTGTGATGTTTTAATGCCCCGCAGTAACGAGTTTCTACCTGATCATGACTGAAATTGAAACGGCGATTCCCATTTTGATGCAAACTCTTGCTTTGGTGACTGAGGGTTTTTTGAATTGGTTACCTCAATGTATCAGCTACCAATTTGAGTTGCATTAAATGTGGGTGTTGCTGGCAAGGTGTATTTGTTGCCTATCTTTAATTGCCCTTGACAAGGTGATAGCGAAATACTATAGTTAATGGCGTGGATATGCCCACAGTGCTGTTAGGGAGTTCCAAGATTTTGATCCCATTTCAATGAACGAATGGTAGTGCAGTTCCGAGTCAGGGTATGTAACTTTGGGGGACAGAGGTGGAAGGAAATGATACGTGGTGGTAGTGTTTCCATGTATCTGCTGCTCTTGCCATTCTAAGTGGTTGAGGTTTGAAAGGTACTGTCTGAGCAGCCGAAATGAGATGCACGTATCTTCAGCACTATTGTTTGAAATGTGATTAGGGCACTTGGCCTTTGCAGTATCCAGTGCCTTCACCCATTTCTTGATTATTATGCGGGGTCAACTGACTTCATTAAAGGCTGGCATCTGTGATAGTGGGGAATGCTGGAGAGGCTGAGATGGATCATCTGCTTGGCACTTCTGGCTGAAGATTTTTGCAAGTGCTTCAACCTCATCTTTAGCTGGGGTTCCCCATAGTTGAGGATCCTCTTATTTGTGGAATCACCACTGCTTGGTGTTTAATTGTCTGCCATTGTTCACAAGTGGATATGGCAGAACTGCAGCATTTTGATATCCTCTGAATTTCTCCAGCATTTTTGTTTTGATCCTAGTCTGTTTGGTTGTGGGGTTGCTCATCTGTTTAACGTGCTGTTGTTGTAATTTGGTATGCAAACAGTTTTGTGGTTTCACCAAGTTGACAAACAGGATTTATGGATGTTCCTGGCATGCTGTCTGTGCTCTTCAAAAATAATACTTTAACCCTTTAAAATACCTTTGAAAATTAGTGCACCAAGTACAAGTATCATTTTAGAATCCTTTTCAAATCCTTCGACAACCTTGCCTCCTTTCCGTTTACAGGCCTGTGCTATCTGTGCTCTTCTAATTCTGGCCTTGCGCATTTTGTTTTAATTGTTTAAACGTGGGAAGCTAAAGGCACATTTACCAAGGCCCTAAGCTCTGAAAATTCCTCCCAAAGCATCTTTTTGGCTCTATCTTTCCTCTGTTTAAGACTCTCCTTAAAACCTTTCCAAGCTAATATAGAAGGGAAATTCTGCAGTTGCTATAAATCTGAATTAAAAGTGCTGGAGGAAGCCAGCAGATCTGGCAGTATCTGAAGAGAAGCAGAGTTAACGTTCCAAGACTGGTACGAATCATCTTTGGACTTGAAAGGGATTCCATGATCTATGAAATCCTACAGTGTGGAAACAGGCCCTTTTGGCCCAATAAGTCCACACCAACTCTTGGAGCATCCCACCCAGACCCATCACCCTATAACCCAGCTAATTTACGCATCCCTGAACACTTTGGGCAATTTAGCACGGCCAATCCACCTAGCCTACACATCTTTGGCCTGTGGGAGGAAACCCACACAGACACGTGGAGCATGTGAAACTTCACACACAGTCGCCCAAGGGTGGAATCAGACCCAGGTCCCTGGCGCTGTGAGGCAGCAGTGCTAACCACTAAGCCACCATGCCACCCCTTTTGGGGAGGCAATGGCCTACTGGTATTATTACTGGACTATAAATCCAGAGACCCAGGTAATGTTCTGAAACCCAGAATTGTGACAGGATTTACAATGCACATCTGGAATTAAGAGTCCAAAGATGGCCACAAATTCATTGTCAAGTTGCCAGAAAAATAACCATCTTGTTCACTAATGTCCTTTATGGAAGGAAACTGCCATCCTTGCTTCGCTTAGCCTGGCCTTGCCTTGCCTTACCTGACTCCAGGCCCACAGCAATGTGGTTGACTCTTAGCTGCCTGCTGGGCAATTAGGAATGGATGATAAATGCTCATCTAGCCAACAATGCCCTCATCCTGTGAATTTTTTTAAAAGCTGGGAATTCTACTTCTTATGCTGTAGACAGAGAGCGAGTAGGAGCAAGCAACAGATTAATGCCTTGAGCAAAATACAAAGGCACTGGTAAAGGAATGGTAGATATGTAAAATGGGTGTAAATATTAGTTGTGAGGGGGAGATAAAAGGGTCTGCTCTGCTGAGGGCAAAGCAGAAGGATAGAAATTGTAAAAATAATGGAGTGCAGAAGTCATAATCTGAAGTTGTGGAACTCTACATTGGGTCCAAGAGGCTGTAAAGTGCCTAGGCAGAAAACAAGAGTTTCTTCAACTTGCAATGAGCTTCATCAGAACACTGTAGAGGCCAAGGGCAAAAATATTAGCATGGGAGCAAGGTGGTTTATTGAAATGGCAAACAAATGGAAGGTCAGGATCATTCCTATGGACAGAGTGGAGGTGTTCTGCAAATGTAAAGGTGGCCATATTGAGCCAGGAATACATTGGACTATATTAAAAGAAGTACAAGTAAAATGCTGCTTCACCTAGAAGTTGAGTTTGTGGCCATAGATGATGAGGGAGGAATTGAATGGCTAAATGTTGCACCAACCTATGCATTCTCAGAAGGTGCCATGGGAGAGTGAGGAAGAGTGGACCAGTGTGTCTTGGAAAGAATGGGCCTTGCGAAATGCTGATGTGAGGAGAATTTGTGTTCTGTGGAGTTAACCTGCTGGAGATGGCAGAAGATGATCCTTTGAGTGTAAACGTGAGGGGACGGTGGAAAATAAGGACGAGGGAATACTGTCATTTTTCTGGGAGGGACCAAAAGGGAGAAGGCTAAATTGCAAGGGATTGAGTAGGATATAATTGAGGGTTCTGTCAACTATGGTGTGGGAAAATCCTTATTTGAGGGGAAAAAGGATGTCAGAGGCCTTCCAATGGAAGGTAGCATCATCAGAACAGAGAAACTGGAATGGAATTCTTGCAGGGAGTGTGGCGTCGGGAACAGTGGGAGGCAGCGTGCTTCTCGTAACCAAGTTTCTCTCCCCATATCACCTGTGAATCTCCCATTCAATTTTATTTGAAAGTGATTACGCGAAGCACCTTGAGTAATTTTACTTTGTTAAAGATTTTAAATAAATGAAAGTTGCTGTTAATGATATCTAATGTGGTTGAACTTGTAATGACAAATGAAATTGATAGAATGTTAAGTGGAAATTCACATTGTATTGCACTGTCATCAAATTTTTGTCCTTTCCATTTTTAAAGCTGAGAAACGTACTGCTTTGCTGACTGAGCTGAACAGACTGAAAGTAGAGGGCGATGCTGTATCCCTGGGTGGGGCAACAAAGTTGACAAAGGAGCTTGAGCCATGTCGAGGCACCATCTCTATCTCTGAACTCCGCCTTCCTTTGAAAGCTGAATTTGTATGTTCAGCCTTACATAAACAAGGTAAGGAAACACAGTGGGCAAATTACTGGTATGAAGAAGATGTTGCTAATTTCTTTATACTGGCAATTTAGTTATGTATGAAACAAGAGTTTTGTTGCTCAACAGCTAGAGTGGTTGTGGTGCAGATCTCCCCTGCTGTTTAAATATTTGTTGTGTGTGGTCAGAGATACAGCTGTAGGATTGGACTCTTCAGTCATGCAAGGACCCACAGAACCTGTAACCAGTGATGTGGAATTTCCTAGGTGGACAATTATACTTGTTAGCAAGTGACAACAATTTGTATAATAATTCTTGAATAAACATCCTTAGCTTGTTTACTATTCTCAAGTACTGTGCAGGTCAAATGTTGTGATTAAATTTGTTTTTGTAATCCAGCTTTGTCTCCAGAGGTAAAGCACTTATTTCCATGCATAATTGCTGCACAAAATGAAGATTGTTGAGAAGCACCTTAGTTTGTACCAATACCTGTTTTCAATAACCAAATTACTGCCCCTTGACAACAGTAACCACTTAGTCTTTACAGAGTTAAGCTCTAAACTGAAGCAAGTTGTACTTGTGACTGGAAGCAAAGTTGGGTGTATTTTTAACTTTTAATATTTTGTGTCAACTTTTAAACCATTTTCTGTAGCTCCAGTGAATGAGTGATCCAAAGAATGCATCCAGAAATAATAAGGTTAATTTTTAGAAAGGCTAGAGCAAATGCTGTCTCGGGCTTAAACTCGGAACATTCCCCTTTTCTTACCTTAAACTATGGAACGCCCATCCTTTTGCAAAGTAACTTCACTTTCGTTAATTGGCTATCTCAATGTGTGCTGTTTTTAAAACTTTATTTTTCCTACCATATCAGAGTTTTTCTGAATCATCTTGACCTGTAAAAGCAGACCTATAATCACAGATTAAAATTCAAGTGAAATAAAACTTAAACTGAGAAAAAACACACTGCAATACTAAAATTACTAAAATGCAAAAATGACCTTACAGAAATATTTTTCCAGTATACCTCTAAACTGTCAACAGCCAATCTTGCTGTCAGTGTGATGCATACCCTGTAAATTTCTGCTTGTATTAAGAAATATGCAACCAAACATCTAAAGCTATTAAATTTTATTTCAACAAGCATAGGCTAATCCTAATTTAAAAGTAGAGCATAGAAATTGTAATGCAGGAAATATGCTCTTTACTGCAATTTCTACTTGCCCTCCATGAGAACAAGATGATCGAACAATATTTACTCTACTCCTCGTCATCTTTTTATCTCTATCTTTTGTGCCTTTACTACCTCCTCCAATTCAGCCTATCTTGAATGTTTGTTTGTTTCTGCCTTAACCACAAAACCTGGAAATAAATTCCACAATGTCTCTAATCTGAGGAAGTTTTTCTTGTTTTTGAAATACTTAATTTCAATTTTGTATCGATGGCTTCTCATCTTAGACACTTCTTCAATCGGTGGCTATTCTTTGCTTCCATCCCTTCTTTCTATGTCCTAATCCTTTCTAATTTTTAAACATATTTCTAACATCTCATAATACATTATAATGGTGGGGATTGGTTGTGGGTGGCAGTGTCCCTTTTTTTTTCCTGTATTGTTTCTTCCCAAGTGACATTTCAGTGAATGTTTTGTTTTGCACCAGATTGGAAGCTTCAGTATCCTAAACTTGTCTCCATGATAAACGCTGCATTTTTCCCCAATCTTCCATGTCGTGTGTTACCTTAAAGAAATCTGAAATTAATCAAACATGTTCACCACTTTTGAATTTGTGGTAGCTAGTTATGACCAGTTTATCTCTCTCATAAACTTGTTGTAATTTCACCTTGGGCACTTGTTTGTTTTTTAAAAAAAAAAAGAAATTCATAGCACCAATTCTAGGCTGTCATTACCCAAAGTAATTTTGTAACAACCATTTTTAAGAGGACGGTTATGAAGACTGGGCTCCAGACCTAATGCTTAAATCTCACTCAGTATATGCATTTGTGACTAAACATCAAATATCATGTATTTGTTGATTTTTGTCATAGGGCAGTAACTTCTGATGGGCTACATGGACTTTTTTTGTGATTGTGGTGATTCTCTGTTAGCCAGTAGATTCTGGTGTAGTATCAAACTTGATGCTTAGTACAGGAATGGAAATAAATCCTTGGAACCAAGTGAGGTTCCCCCAGTAATTGTAGGTTAGTTGAATAAAATGTGGAATTATACAAAGAGAGGAGCTGTGATGTGAAAATATCAACATGATATAAATTGAGTGGAACTGGAATTATAATTGTGCCAATTAGTATCAATCCTAACTTTTAGCAGCTGCTTTGATCTCAACACTGTAAAATACACTTCAGTTCTTTCAAATCTTAGTCAATAGGTCTGATCATCTTGATTTCATTAACTTGGTATCCTGCTACCACCAGAACACTTGTAAGATGCCTTTAATGCACTAAAGCTAATACACTGGTATTTGTTGCAATCGGGTAATATTTTATGAATGTTAGTGTTTAGTTTGCTTATCAGCTACCGCCCCCTATTGCAACGCTTTGGTTTAAATACAACCCTTCTGCAAGGTACACAAAATACTTTAATTGTATCTTGAAATAAGACAGGATAAGAAGACCTTGGCTAATAGTATCAGATAAAATGTTTTTTAAACTGGAGAACAGTGGGTTAGACTTAATTTTTAAGGCCAAGACTCTAATAAACCACAAAATAGATTTCCTATAATTAAACACTAGTTGACAATCTCCCACACAGTCACAGGATTCTGCAGTAGGATGTAGTCTTTGGATTGAAGCCAAGTTCAGTTATACTCTGGTCTAGGCCTGAAACGTCAGCTTTCCTGCTCCTCGGCCTGCTGTGTTCATCCAGCTCTACACCTTGTTATTTCAGTTATACTCTGATAGGTCTGCACGAGGGATATTAATACAGTATACCTGAACTTGGCAGGGTGGTGGGGGGAGTTCCAAATTCAACCACTGATGTCCTTGAATTTGTTAAGTACTGAAAGAAAATACCAGAAAGAGCTTGTTCGTGCAAATAATATCTGGAATACAAACTATTATTTGAGTGAGAATTGCACTGGAATGTTCAAGCAGGTGGATGCAGAGCTGAAAATACCAGGAACTTTGTGTCAGATGACTCTTTCTTCACTTGACTTTTCTTGGTGTTCTTCAGGAAAACCAAGTCACTATTTCTTACTGATGATCCACTATGGTCCACATAACATTGTGACGACTCCACTAGCAACAGCAGAAGATGCTCAGCATGGTGATACCGTTACTTTCCCAACCGTAATCACACTGTGAGTTACCATTTCTTATTTCTTAAACAATGCCTCATAACATCAAAATTTAGAAAAATATCAATTAATTACATTTGTTAAACTATTAAATTTTTAAATAAATGTAGCCATTTGAGCAAGATACCAGAAATGAGTGGTTCGGTGCAATTTCAGCACAGAAAGGGGGTGTTCAACACATCAAGGCTGTCATGTCACTTTAACTGGAGCTCTGTTCTGAACTTTAGTTTAAACTAACTTTCCTTTGTAAAAAAAAAAAAAAAAAATTATCCAATTTTGTTTGAAGTCTCTACCTAAATTGCTACATCTAGAAAACAATTATCCGAGAAACCCTCTAAGAACAGGCTTCTTTTCACATCTCACTATTTTTCTAATGAGTATATCCCAATGGTAACAGACTGACCTATCAAAATAGATATTTATTCACCATCGCAATTTTTCATTTCAAACTTTTGTTAGTTCTTTCCTGAAACTATGGGAGGTGGGAGTAGGTAAATATTTTCAATGCTTCACAAATATACCCTGTTAGATTTTTAATTTTTGTAACGGTTTTGCTGTATCCTTTCCAGAGCTTTAATATATTTCCTACAATAGGCTATACAACATTATGCATAGTATATCAACTATGACACATCAAATGTCCTCTACAAATTGAAATTTCCTTTTTATAATCTCTTTGGTATGAAGCCCAGAATCCATTTGACGTATTATCCTGCTTTATCTGTCGAGAGAGTGAGCGAAATAAATGCCTGAAGATTCCTTGTATCACGTTAGTGACACTCTGTGCCTGTGCATTTCATCTGTTTGCCCGGAAACCACAAGTAGTAATATACTAGGCAAAATAAAATCTGCTGAATCACAAAATGTAACTGATGTTGCTGTCACACCTTCTAGGCGTGATATTCATTACAAATTTGAAATTGATGTGGAAGTGTACAGCCTGGTAAGCAAACCTATCTTCAACTTCTTGCTTTGTTTTTAAAACCATTCCTTTTTCACATTACAGACCTTTTTGAATCACTTTTTTTTTTGTCTTCATGCAGGCTCAGGTGACAAATGTAGCCACGTCTGAGAAGCGGAGAGTGTCGCGATCTAAGGTGATTTTGTGATGTGCTTTTTTTTTTAAAGCATGTAATCTGATCTGCTAACTTATAAACTGTGCATTTGATTTTCCTCTACAATATTTTATGCTCGATTTTTGTCTCAGACAACCACTGTTGGATCAGCAAATTCAAGTCTGAGGCTGAAAGGTGCACGTTCTAATCACTGAAGTCTAGTATTCCATCTGCCACTTCTTTGCCCTGTCTCCTCGCCTGTCCAAATCATTCTGTAGGTTTCCTGCCCCTCAACATTTCCTGTTCCTCCACCTATCTTTGTGTCATCAGGGGGAGGCGATGGGCTAGTGGTATTACACTGAGCTATTATTCCAGAGATCCAAGTAACATTGTGGGCACCTGAGTTTGAATCCCACCATGGCAGGTGAAGTTGAATTCAATAAAGATCTAGAATTAGGAATCTAATAATGACCATGAAACCATAGTCAATCATTGGGAGAAAGCTCACTTGGTTTACTAATGTCCTTTATGGAAGGAAACTGCCGTCCTCCCCTAGTCTGGCCTATGTGTAACTCCAGACCCACGTACCCACATCCTGTAAAGGAATAAACAAACTTACAGTGCCCTTCGTTTCTTCATCCGTATCGTTAATAGTAACACTGGTCCTAACACTGACCCCTTCAAAACTCTGTTAGTCACTGGCTGCTGTCCTGAAAAAGACCCTCCTTATCCCTACTGCCAGTCAGCCAATCCTCTAAGTCAGTACCTTGCCCCTAACTCCAAAGGCTTTACCTTGTCTTATTTAGCAGCCTCCTGTGAGGCACCATTCCAAAGGCCTCTTGGAAATCCAATAGGCCACGTCCACTGGCTCTTGTTTGTCTAACTTGTTTGTTACCTTGTCAAAGAATTCTAACAGGCTTTGTCAGGTGTGACCGCTCCTTGACAAAGTTGTGCTGACTCAGCCCTATTTTACCACGCACTTTTGAATACTCTTCAATCTCATGCTTAATAATGGACTCACAAATATTACCACTGATCGAGATCAGACTAACTGGCTTATAATTTCCTGTCTTAAAAAGTGTGTTACATTAGTCATTTTCCAGTGCTTTAGGACCTGCCCGGACTCCAGTGATTCCTGAAAGATTACCATCAATTACTCCACAATCCCCTCCGCTATCTCTTTCAGAATCCTGAGGTGTAGTTTTTTTCACCTTTTTCAGACCTTTCACCTTCCTTAGCTCCTTTCCCTCCGTGATGGCCACTACATTCACCCTTGCCCTCTGACTCTTGCTACGTTCTGGTATGCTACTGCTGTCTTCTATCATGAAGACTGACGCAATGTACCTATTCAGCTCGTCCACAATGTCTTTGTTCCCAATTATTACTACTACTGCAGTATTATTTTCCAGCGGTCCAATGTCCATTTTTGCCCCTCTCTCTCTTATCATTCTTGTGTCTTTTTAAAAATCAACTCTTGCAGTCTGACTAGTTTATCCTACATTTCACTTTTTTTTTTAAATTGCCCTGTGCTGGTTTTTAAAGGTTTCCCAGTAAAATTCAACACTGTATACTTTTTCTTTAGTTTTTATCCTGTCCATGACTTCCCTTGTCGCCGTCCAACAGGCTTATTTGAAATCACAAGCTTCTGAAGTGCTGCTCCTTCATCACTTCACCTGACACAAAGGAGCAGTACTTTGAAAGCTTGAGTTCAAATAAACCTGTTGGACTATAACCTGTTGTCGTGTGACTTCTGACTTTGTCCACCCTTGTCCAACACTAGCACCTCCACACCTTGTCAGCCATGGTTGACTTATCTTTCCATTAGCATATTTCTTTTACCTTGGAATGAATTTTTGCTGTGCCGCCTGAATTACCCCTAGAACCCCCTGCCACTGCTGCTCCACCCGTCTTCCATGCTAGTTCCCCCCTCATGCCTTTGTAGTTACGTTTACTCCATTGTAATACCATCGCATCTGATTCAAGCTTCTCCCTCTCTGAATTCACCCTGCAGTTTATCATATTATGGTACTGGCCCCTAGGGGTTTCTTCATCTTTCTCCTGAATCAAGACTCAGAATTGCCTGTTCCCCAGTAGGTCTATCACCATCTGCTACAAAAATAAATCTCTAGACTTCGCATTAATTCATATACTCTGCACGTTTTGAGTACAACACGTTCATCCGAGAGCAGTACAGACTTTTACCGCTGTGAAGAATGTAATTTGGCCTCAGAATACTGCCTCTTATTGCCATTAAATTTCCTTGAAAGCCACCACCCTACCCCCCACTGCCGCCGCAAGCCCTTACCACTTGAATGGCTTCCTGTACCATCCATTCTGCAGCCCTTACACCTGAGCAAGATTCCATACTGCTGAAGTTGTTTATATTGCTTCAATCAAGAGCGTATTAGAAGCTTCCAGTACACAGCCTTGTGCAGTGTGAGAGTTCTACTACTGACCTCATTGTGTTCATTAGTAATGACTATAACTTTTTTATATTGTACTAAAACATGCTAACTACTCTAAAGCAGTTAAGTAACTACATCTCCAGCCTGTCTGTATTTTGTGTAATTCTGCCTAAGTTAACACTTTAAGGGGAAAGGATGGTATCACGATATATAGTCGTTGTACATTTCGCAACATTAGCCTATCTGGGTTAAGCGTAAAAATCTGTGTCATCTGTTCAACCCTCTGCTAGTTTAGGATGCTGTATTGCTTTTACCTCATAATCTGCTGTTTGTTTTCATTTCATTATTTTCTGCAAGTAAGGACTTGCAAATTAATTGTGCTGCATGTTCTAAACTAGTTTATGACTTAACATTTTCAAAGAAAACCCTATTCCATTTCCATTTGAAATCTAATTCAAAATGGCAAGAAAAACCAAACATCCCATTCTGCCCCACATTCTCTGGGAAAAGTCAAAATGCAGTGACTTGGTGCATGTGAATTTGTTTAGGCAATTAGTATTGCTTTCTTTAGTTCTCATTTTGAAACCCAGATCTAGTGTAGAATTAATCTTCAGATTACAGTAGTCTTGATTCAGAAAGCTGCTGAAAAGTTAACATTTGAGTATTCTAGGAACAAAAGCTTGAAGCATAATATTTCTTAAGCAAAAAGTGTTTAGTCTGTAATCCATCTGTCTTGATTATGTAAAAGGTCCATCCCTTTGTCACTTGCCTGCAAATCTAAACTGTCCTTGACAAACTAAAACACAGCACATAAATTGTTAAGAAGCATTTAACTAAATTACAACTTGCAATTTTCCTTTTGGAATAATACTCCCAATGGCTGATCAGATTCTTTTGATCAGCAGCTGGTTTTATCTTTTGGAACATATGCTTCTTCTCATTCCCCCAAGTTCCAACCCAGATTGCATGTATTATTCATATAACTTGAGTACTGTTCCACTCCATGTGATGCACCTTTTATTAACCCACTAAGCAATAGTACATACACTCCATGACACTGCTGGTTGCTCAGTAAATCCATGGACTAGGGTCCATTTTGGGTGATCAGTCCATCAACAGTTCTCTCGGTTTCTGCAGCAATTGACCAATCTGTTCTATTCCATCTGCAGTGGTGAGTTACTTAGTCTTTTCTTAATACCCCTTACCTTGCTCTGACCGCCATGCCTGATTTTGACCCATTTAATTGGTTGTTAATTACATCACTGTACTGGTCAAAATCATCACCAGATGTCCAATAAAAATATGCTGCCTTCCATGTCTTTAAAAAGTTGCCTCCAATGTGTATCAATGATGAAATGTAGAAAGACCTGAATTTTACAATTGCATAAATGTCTTTCACAGTTTACGCATGGATTCAGACTTTTAGCAAAATTCTGTGGCTTGACCAATATCTTCCCAGCCTGCCTTTGTTCTTGTATCAATAATGCAGTTCTTTGGTCAGGGTGCCAGATTTCTTCTGCTTGCCCATTCCATCACCATAAGACAAACTTTGCACACAGGGTTTCAACACAATCTGTTTACGCTCATTAGCAGGGAATAAATAAGTGTGGTTATAAAATTCAAAGTGATTAATACCATACAAGAGTAAATAATGCATTGCCTTACTGTGCATAAGTGCAATATCAGAATGGAAATATGCAGCTGCAGTGATAAGGACGCTCTCCTGTTCCATGTCCTGCTTTCTTTTATCCTTGCTAATGATTTGTATGTGGAAAAACAAATCAGGATTAATCTTCCTTTTGTACTGTACAGGTTATAACTCCAAAGAAACTGCTGAACTCCATTACTGTAAGTGTATTTTTTTTAAGTGATTGTCTGAAATGTTGCAAACATTAGGTTAGCACTATTCATTGTACCTAACTGTATAGCTCCTGGACCTGTTTGGCAATCTTTGTAGCTGATTTCAGAGCAAAATTTAAGTGGGATTGAGATCCCATTATTGCTAGGTATACATTGACAGGAGTTTTGTAAGTGATCGCACAGGAATCTAGTAAATCAGCTTGAGACTTCTTTTTGATTTATACCAGAAGGAAATCGATCACATTGGCCTTTTTTTTTCCCCCCTTTTTTTCTCAGAAATCAAGCTTACAGTCGCCTGGTGAGTTAATGCAAACATCCTTTTGGTTTTTATCAAGAACGTTTTTAAAGAAAAACGTGGTGTGTAATTTATAGTGTATCACCAGATGCTGAATATGACTTTTATGCTACTTCTCACAGCAGCCGTTACCTCTCTAGAGGCACCCCAATTGTCTTGCAAAGTTTGCATAGACGAATACATATCTATTCAAATTTAAAATATAGAACCACACATTGATTGCAATGTAGAAAGGGACCATTCTTCTTTCTCTTGTAGCCTTGCTCATTTGTTTTTAAATCGGTCTAATCCCCTTTATGACTTGATTGAATTTGTCTGCTCCACACTTGGACAGTCCATTCAAATTTTAACCACTCTCTGGAAGTTTTTTTCGTGTCACTACTGTTTTTATCACTTAGTTTAAATCTGTGCTCCCTAATTCTCAATCCTTGAATGGGAATGTTTTCTCTGTCCAGGCAGCTCAAGATTTCAAAGCTCCTTTCAGACTCGAGCAAAACAGTCCCAAACTATGTTCATAAACTGGTTCCAGGGATAAGGAATTTCATTCTCATGAATCTTTTCTACATCCTGTCCAACACCTTCAAATGCTTCAGTGTGGTGCCGGCAACTGACTGCAAGACTCCAAATGAACTAGTGTCTTGTATAAATTCAACATAATCTCCTTTGTTTCATCCTTATTAAAGCCTAGGATGCTGCATGTTACTAAATTTCCTCAACCTGTCCTGTCTCATTCAATATTTTGTGCACCTATACTTCAAGCACATTTCTCTTGTACCCCCTTTATAGTTGTATTCTAAATTTTATACTGTTTCTCCATGTTCTTCCTACCAAACTTAATCACTTCACATTTCTCCATATTGAACTTCATCTGCAACCCTTCTGTGCCTTTTTGAGTTCTGCATTAACCTCTTCACCATTTATAATGCTTCCAAGGTTTGTACTGACTGCAAAATTTAGAATGATGTCCTGTGCACCAAGGTCTTTTTTTTTTTTTTTGTTGATTTTGTTTGAATATTTATGGCAAAGCAAGTTTCTTTTAGTATTCCCATGCTTAACTGCAATGAATATATACTCAGTCCTCTTTTTTTCTTTTTAAAAAACATATTTTTAAAATGTTTTTGGTCTTTTGGCTTAATGAATGCAACTGATTTCCTTGGACTTTGTGGCTTTTGCAGTAGATGTCCTGGCATAAGACTGCAGGATTTTCAAAACAAAACATTGCAATGGTACTGTAACATTAACAGAAGATAGAATAAACTCTTTGACCTCCTGGCTGAGGTCTAAATTTATCATGAGCAGTGACTTCCTGATCTCTAACTCAGTGCCATGTAGTGATTTTATCCACTGAATTGTCAAGGGCAGGTAAGGAACTAGAGTCGATCATGCATTCAGTCTTGAGTCTGTCGTATCTTTCAGTTAGATCATGGCTGATTCGTAGCCATATATCCTGCTTGGTTCCACATCGTTTGACTAATGTTTGATGTGTTTATACTTTGCTTTGCAGCCGCTAGTCCTAGTTCTGTACGCAGCAGTAAATTTGTGTTGGTTGGGTCACACAAAATCACCTTGGCATCCTTGGGAAAAGACAAGTTTCCACTTGACAAAGTAAGTCTTTGAATTTTAATACATTGATCAATGGTCTGTCTAATTGCTTATAAAATTTGTGATTATACGGTGGCTGACTAATTGTGACCTTCAGCTTTCACTTGAAGATAATTCTAATCCCTTCATACAACGAATGGTTACAGCAGAGAAGTAGGCTATTTAACATGTTGAATCTATGCAGGCCAACTGAAGGAGCAGTTACCCTGCTTTCTCCTCCATAGCCCGGCACACTCTTCCCGTTCCTCCGTCGTTCCTCTCCTCCACATCTCAGGCAGTGTCTTTCTAAATGTCAATGTGTGAAAAGGTTTATCTCCTTGCTGCCACTGCTTCTCTTGCTAATTACCCTAAGCCTGCCCTCTGGTTCATGATCCTTCCACCAATGGGAAAATTTTCTACCTATTAACTTTGGCTGAACCCTTTGTGATTTTGAATACTTCTCGGGTATTCTCCAGACTGATCTTCCTCAAAAGAGAACAGGTAGTTGAGAATAACAAACACAACCCAAAACATCAGCTTTCCTATTCCTCTGATGCTGCCTGGCCTGCTGTGTTCCTCCAGCTCCACACTTTATCTCTGACTCCAGCATCAGCAATTCTTGCTCTCTCTGGTAGTTGAGTATGATTTGCTGTAACAAATCAATGCAGGCTTTCCAAATAATCATAACTTCCAGGAAGGGATGAAATTAATCGAATTTAGCGTGTTAATTTGACTGGCCTGTAGTTGCTGCACGTATCTTTACATTGCCTTTTTCAACTAGGTTGTAATTGCAATTCTCCAATCCTCTGACACACCCCGAGACTAAATAATATTGGAAAATAATCATCCAATGGACTGCAATGTCTCTGGGTCAAAAACCAAATCAACTGGCTGGAGCCAAGGAACAAAAGTGCATTTTCTACACTCTCTTTTTCCTTTAATATCCCTGGTGCCTTATCAGCTTTTAAATATGACAGTCTTTCCAATACCATCTAACAATTTAAAACCCTTAAGTATCTGAACTGCCACCTCTTTCCTCTTTCGCCATGACTTTGGCAGCATAAAAACAGGTGAAGAGTATTAATTTGGTTATTAATTAAGCTATGCCCCTGCCTCTCTACATAATTCTCCTTTTGAACCGTCTATATTTTAGCCTGGTTTTTTTGGTTGTTTTGGTTTTGGCATCGGTCATAAGTTCCCTTTTTTTTTTCTTAACCTCTATCTCTTGTTATCCAGGGAGCTCAGGATTTGTTTGCTTACCTTTTTCCCCTTTGTGGAAATATATGTTGACAGTGTGTAAACATGCAAACCTTGTGAGATGCAGTCCATTGTTCAGTTACCTTTTTTCTGCCAAACTTTGGGCGTGACCCAGATAAATTAGAATCATTGGTCTGGAAATCATTCGGCTGCTCTTATTGGACTACTATCCCAGTTTGTATTTGGATAATTCAAGGTCCCAAAAAAATCTTGCACTTCTATAAGTTGCTTGCAATTCATCATTCTGTACTTTCTGCACTCTTTTTGGTGATCTAAAGACTCCATCAAGAAATGTAATTGCACCATTTTTGTTCTTTGGCTTTAACCCAATTGATTTCGTTCTTGACCCCTCTGGGACATCTCTCTCCAGCATAGTAATATTCTCCTAATCTGTCACCTCTCCCCTTTGCTTCCTTTTTTTGTTACTTTTTCCCCTGAACACCTTTGTATCCAGGACCCACTCCTGCCTGTCTTTGAATCAGGTCTCCATTATCACCACAACATCCTATTTCCTTGTGCCTATCTGTACTGGCAACCCATCAATCTTATTTATCACATTACGTGTCTTCACATTAATGCACAGTCACCCTGATTGAGACTTTTTCTTTCCTTTCTCCCTATTCTGACCCTCCCTATTACCTTTATCACTTCTTTGCTTGTATTTCAGTTTTTGTTTCTTGCTCGTTTTTTTTCACATACGCGTGGGGCCTAGTCTGCTGCCCTCCATAAGGCTTGCACTCTTCTCCTGCACGCTCGAGTTCAGAAGAACAAAAGGTAAACTTATTGAAACACCCAAGTTTCTGAATTGGACTTGACAGTAGGCACAGAAGCTGTCTAATAGCTGTGGAATCTAAAATGTGGGGCACAATCTCGAGATAAGGGGCTGACCACTTAGAACTGAGATAAGGCATTTCTTCAAAGAATTGTGAATTTTTAGAATTTTAGCCCCAAAAGATGTCACTGCTCCATCTTTGGGTAAATTGAAGGCTGAGATGGGCAGAGTCGGTGTTGCAGGGAATCGAGAGATACACAGATCAGTTGGGAGAGAGTTAAAGCCGAAGATTGGTGTGATTCCATTGAGTGACAAAACGGGCACAATTGGTACAGCTTACTCTTGCTACATTTATGTTCTTTCCTGCAAAAGGAAATATTCTGTCAAATCTTTTTCATGACTTAAGGTGACTTCTGCAATGGACTTCACCAATTTTATGTTTTCACCTCACTTTAAATGTTAACTCTTTTTGGACTTTGGGTAGTGAACTGGACTGTTGAGGTAGAGAAAGGTAATGAGGGTTTTGAAGATGCCCTGTCCTTACTGTGTTGAGAAGGAAGCAATGATCTGTTTGAATATTAATGTAAAATATTTGCATCATCTATAACCATTGGAGGGTGGCTAATCTTGTACCTTTAAGAAAGATTATAGGAAGAAACCAGAGGATTACAGACCTGAGTCTGCACATTTAGAGAAGCAAAAATTGATTAGGGATAGCCAGCTTGGTTTTGTGAGGAAAATTGTGTGTCTCAAACTCAATCGAGTTTTTTTTTTTTTGAGGAAGTTACCTAAAAGGTGGTTGATGGCAGAGCAGTAGACGTTGTTTATTTAGATTTTATTAAAGCCTTTGATGAGGTTCTGCATGGTAGACTAATAAAGTTAGGTCACATGGGATTCAGGTGAGCTTGCGAATTGGAAACAGAATTGGCTTAATGGCAGGAGACAGAGTAATAGAGGAGGGTTGCTTTTCAGACTGGAGGCCTGTGACCTGATATACCAACCATTACAACGAACAACTGGAAGCAGCAAAAACCAGACCATATAAATTCAAACTGGCACAAGACAACAGCGCTTCAGAGGAGGCTCCACAGCACTGAGGCTGTCACCTAGTAAGGAGACGAAACGTCTGCTATCAAACCTGCCAGCTTGGCTAACGCACCATCTACAACCAGCACCCGAGCTACAAACTTCCACTCAAACCCTGAAGGATATTATCAAGTTGCAGAGGGCTCGAGATTTTACCAGGATGTTGCTGGGTATATCAGGTTTGTTATAAAGAAAGGCTGGGATTTTTTTCTCAAGTGTAGGAGGTTGAGAGGTGACCTGGTAGAAGTTTACAAAATAACAAGATATAGCTAGAGTTGATGGTCGTTGTCTTTACCCTAAGACGGGGAATTTCAAGACTAGAGGGCACGTTAAGGTGAGAGCACAGATTTTTTTTTTTTAAGAAAAAATTAGACAGATTTTTTTTTTACACAGGGTGGTTTGTGTGGAATGAACTTCCTGAGGAAGTGGTGGATGCAGGTACAACTACAATGTTTAAAGTACATTTGGATGGATGTATGAATATGAAAAGTTTGGAGAGATATGGGCCAGGAGCAGGCAGGTGGGACTAATTTAGTTTGGGATTATGTTCTGCACAGACTGGTTGGACTGAAGGGTCTGTTTCTGTGCTGTATGACTCTGACTCTGGCACGATGTTTGTGAACTTGCAACAGTTTGGGATATTATACAGTACTTGTTACTAGTGCCACCTTGTGAACAATGTCAACTGTAACTTTCTCCCTGTGTAAACAGAATACAAATATTGAACAGGTAGTGGTTCTGATTTAAATGTGGCATTTTCTCAAATGTTTTGATAATGTGTACCCATATCTTTTTGATGGAAGTATGGTTTTTGCAGTCTTGCATTTTAACTGCAGGGCACGTGAGAATAAAAACTTGCTGCCTTTTTAAGTGTTTCAGTCCTACAATTGCTTTGCTTTGTTCCTGATGGAAATGACAATTTTAAGCTACCCCTCTCCACAGGCCACTGTTAATCTCTGGAAGCAGAGGCAATTAGCATCATAGGAAAAGCCCATTGCTCAGCCTATTCACAAACATTTCTTGAGTTGTAGGTCAATCAGTGAAGTTTCCGGACTCTGATGTCTTGTAATTACCACTTTTTAATACTAAAACTTAAATATTTATTAATTAATTTTGACTTGTTCTTTTTGCTGTAGATGAAGTTTGATGGAAAAGTCAGGCAACTACTTGGAGATGAGTTTCAGAACAAGGTTTTGAAAGTTATCTAATATCTCTATATAACCAAATCATTTCTTGGAGCTTTAGTTTGGAACTAGAAAATTGTCTTCTGCAATGGGCTGTTGGAAATGGATGTTCATATAATAAGAGCTACATTATTTCTTCAAAAGTGAGGAAATCTTTGCTCCAGGTCTGATTCAGTCAAGTACTATAGTGGTGGTTAAACCAGATGAAAGTTTGCAGAACTTTCATGTTGTGTTACGCATTACACTATATTAAATTGATGTGATTGCATCAATTTGAAGTTTGGTGGTATGTGTTCCACATAACTGTATTCTCTAGTCCAAACTACAGCTTTATGCAGTTTAATTAGTTGATGCATAAGGCTTGCTGACCTTTGTTGTTTCTGGCTTGGTCTTTGCATGGTTCTGCCTGTAAGTGCTTAACATTGTAATAAGCCTATAGTGTAGAAGTGCTAAATGCAGGCACATCTTAAATTATCTGTTGGCTTTCTAATTCTTCATCCTCGTGATGAGGATAAGCTTTACAAATTTAAGTATTTTCCATTCAAATCCCTGCTCTGCATTTAGACCTATTTCATCTGTTTTATTATATCAAATTAGGCCTAGTATCTGCAATAAATACCATGCGAACGTTCACTTTTAAAGTTCTATCCTTGATATTATTAATGCATTTTTTTTTGATTATCTAGGTCCCTTTTCTGTCTCCTCTTGAAGGTGCCATCTATTTGAAACTCCAATGCCATTTTCACTCCACTGTTCAGCATTCAGGATTTCTGGTAATCACCCTTTTATTTCATGCCATATAATTCAGGGTTCAGAAGCAATGGTATGATAATTATCTTTCTCTAGCATATCACTGATACGCAGAACTTGTATTATTCAGTTACATTGTTGGCCAAGCACCTGCACTAAAGCACATAAATAGAAGGTTTGAGAACATGTGACATTAATATTCTGGCAAGGTTAAGAATACTGTTTCTGTTTTTGCAGACTATGTTTGAGGATGTGAGTGGATTTGGTGCATGGCACCGTCGCTGGTTTGTGTTGTCTGGCAACACCCTTTCCTACTGGACCTATCCCAACGAAGAGAAGCACAAGGTGAAATAACTGCAATTTTTCATGGTTGACTTGTTTTATATAAAACAAATGATTAAATGGACATTTTTGCCAAATGTGAATATTAAGAGCTTATGCTGTAAAATTTTGTGGGCAATTGCAAGTTTACACATTTAAAAATTTATTTTTATTTTCTGTTATATAAAAACTAATCTATTATGCTGGAAGCTACTTAATGTATGGGTTCCTGGTTTATTTACGTCTGCTTTTATCAAACCAGTTTGATCAGTGTCTATCATTTAAACCTGCAGACAAAATTAAATGTCGTGGCTAAGTTTCTAACTTGAATTTTAGCCTTGTCCAACCTCGAGTTAATGTGGAAACTAGAAGCAGGAGTAGGCCATTTGACCCTTCAAACCTGCTCCACCATTCAATTTGACTGTTCTTTTATCTCAATGCCTTATTCCTGCTTCCTGTCCACATGCCTTGGTACTTTTAAAATCTAAACATTTATATAACTCTTTCTTGGCTATATTCAGTGACTTGGCCTTTTACAGCCTACTGTGACAGAGAATCCCATAGGTTCACTACTCTTTGGGTGAAGAAATATTTCCTTGTCTCAGTCCTAAATGGCCTACTCCATTTCCTGAGGTGCAGATCAAAGTGCTACAACCACTCAATTACTTGCCTAAATTGAAATTCTTCATAAAATCTTCAAAGGCAATCAGTACATCAAAGTATGGAGGCAGTTGCAGTACAGCATGATTTCATCTCCATATCTGTATATTCCAAAACTAGTTGGATGGGAAGTGATCCAGATAGGATCCCCAACAGATTTGAATCCACTGACCCCAAGGGTAATTCTAGATTGTTAAAAGCAAAATACTGCAGATGTTGGAAATTGGAATGGAAACAAAATCTCAACTGGTCTAGCAACATTCGTGAAGACAGTTAATTCATTGGGTCAAATGAATTGTTAGTACAAATTGTATGTTCCCTCTGATATGAGCTAATGCTACACCTAAGGAATCGATTTGTAATTTTTCACGTGCGTTAGTAAAACATGCTGGTGAAATTTCCTAATACATTATGTATAATTAGTGCATATCAAGACATTGATGCATTTAGAGAAAAGATGTAAATCGTTCAATATTTGTTTTTTTTTCATTAAAGCTTTCTCTAAAATACGAATGAAAGGTAGACTATTTTGTTTTATTGCCTGGGGTCTGAACTCCAATTTCACCTTTCTCTTAACACATTTTATATATTTTTTTTTAATGTGTGGTATAAATGATTTTGTTTCAGAAACCATGGCAGTGCCTGGGTTCTGACTCCTTTCTAAACTAGTATTAATGCACTAACTCACTCCATTTTTGTCCAGAAACCTATTGGGTGTATTGACTTGGCCAGCTGCACCAAAGACAAGATTGAACCTGCCAGCCGAGAGTTCTGTTCCCGGCCCAAAACGTTTGAGCTAATTACAGTACGACCACAGAATGAAGCTGATTCTGATACACTCGTTGTTCAGTGTAGAAACAAGATGTGCTTTTCCAAGTAAGTGTCACTAGCCCCTGGCACTTCTAAATGGATGTGAAAATACAGATATGGTTCATCATTTTAAAGTGTGCATATATGCTCCCACCCCCACCAGGTGGTGGAGGACAGAGCAACTCTTCCCAATTCTGACCTGCATTCAAGTTCCTGCCCTTAAACTGATCTGATTATTAATTCTGTTGACCTCTCTTCAATCACCAATTCCTTTGACTCTGCAAGTGGTTAAATGATTAAGCTTCTTCCATGTGGTTTTTGATTTTCAACTCCACAACGTTTTCATTAATGGAAGAAAAAAAGACTTCACTTATCGTGTGTCTTCAACATCTTTGAATTACTTTAGCTAACAATGGTCTATTTGGCTTGGGTGACAGCATGCTGGTTTGAGTTGGAAGATGTTCAGACTTGAACAGTATAATGTAGGCTATCACTACGCTGTCCAGAGGGTCCACCTTTTTAAGGTGGAATTTTAAACTGAGGCTGCCTCCGAATTCTGATAATACTTGGAATAATGAGTTCCATGGGTACCACAGGAAAACATTTGCCCCTTGAATAATGCCACTAAGTAAAACTTGTGAAATTGCTATTTAACCTCCAAACCAAAAGATTACTATTTGAAATTGGTTTGTGAAATCCTTGGAATTCTGACAAGTGAAATTATAAATGCAAAATGTTTTGTGATTTATTAATTTAGTAATACTTTTTTAGGTGCAGTCAAATTCCACAATTATTCTGTATGCTAGTCACATCTGTTTTTTGGTGGTTTTGCGATTGTTAACTCAAGATCTTAGAATTCTCTGCTATTTAAAACAATACTTCCAGCTCATTAGCTAGTCATGAGAGACTGAAACAGACAAGCTAGCCTTTGTGCTCAGGTCCTAGAGTGGTGTTTAAATAACAGTCTGACCATTTAACTAAAGCAAAACATTGTGCATGCTGGAAACATTAAAAATACTGCAAATATTCAAACCTGTCTTTACTGACAACTTCCCATTTTATGTATTTTTTGCAATGTTCCAAGTACCTCATGCAAACTATAATCCATTGTGAGCACCTATCAAGTGAGCCGTTGCCATAAGAAATGGTCTCATTTATTTTTAATTGAATTGTAACAAGCTGTTGCTGTACCATTTTGAAGACACAAATTCACTTAGTGTTCTTGATACATAACAATCCATAGACAATTGAATAGTTTTAATCATAGACTTATGTATTAAGAATTTTATGATTTCAGCTAATTTGGAACAGAAAGAAATAGCCTAATTGTTAATCTTGTACTTGTAAATTCTTCTGTAGGATCTGGTTGTCAGCTGACACAAAAGAGGAGAGAAACCTGTGGATGGAGAAACTTAACCAGGTTCTGCTCAACCTTGGAACATGGCAACTAACAGCACACTCCATGTCCAAGGATGGAATCTGAAGTTGGCTTTTCAACGATCAGATGCCTCTGAGCAGCTTCTCACTTTGAGAAGGTAGATTTTGATACTAATGCCTTGCAAGTAGTTGACTATATACGCAACCACTTTGAATTGCTGCTAAGAAAACCCTTGCCTAACAAATCTTAATCCAAAGAATGAAAGATCCAATGGTTATTTGCCTTGAATTTTCCCTTCTTTTCCCCCCCACCCCATGTAATTTCTCTCCTAAAGTATTAACTTGTGCTAGAATTCATGGAGTTACTGCGTTCACTTCATTGCCATTCCATTTTAAATGAAATGGAATGGCAGTTTGCTTTACCTTCCACTGTCCAAACTGGGTTCCATCCTAGGACCTTTCCTGTTTTATTACAGTAGGACCCATATATTCCCCCTCCCCCTGTTGTAGTAAATTCACTTAGATCTAGTTACTGCTTTTGTTAATCCTGAGAACAGAGCTTTAAGTTTGGACTGGACTGGTACTTGTACTTGTGTTGATGTTTGCTGCAAGATTTCAAAAAATTGTCTTGCTCCATTGCTGCCCTGGTTTTGAAATGATTGGGAGAAGGGAAAGGAGAAAATAATTCAAAATGGCTATATAACCAACCTTTACTTAAGCCAGACTTTATTTCTGCACCTTTTGTATCAAATCAAAATTACAAAGGGCTTATCTTGCACACTTATCACATTTATAATATTGACTGTGTAACCTGTTCTATTTCTAGTGTCATTGTAACTTCTACCATTTTAACTGTCTTATTCTACCTGTCTTCTCTGAAACCAGTTCAAAGAATAAACATTTAACTAATTCTGCTTGTGCACTTTCTCTCTTTAAAATGTATCAGAATGTGCACACCCTTTTGTCCATTGTATTTATTTCCTAAGGTTCAGAGCTTCATGCAAATGAATTCTGCGAACATGCAACCTTTGACTCTGATTCCATTTCTCTCTTCCCCACCCAGCAAAAAAGAGTGCTGAATAAAAATTTAAGACCTATTGTATTTGTATTTCTTAATATTTTGTTCAAGGAATTCAATCTGGCCAATTGGATGACCTTTTGACATCCCCCAATATCAAAGTCAATTTAATCTGTCATGCAATATCAGTTCACACTCTCTTTCTTAGATTTCAGAGCTTTAAGAACTCTCTAGGACTGGCACAAAAATATGCTGGTCTTTTTTTAAAAGAAAAAGCTCCACTTTGATTTGCAATATTTAATGTGAGGTAAGATGTTTTTATTAAGGTACAATGTTGCAGCATAGTATAAAGGTGTTACACTGAAGTAGGAGAATTCGGAAACAGTCACAATCTGATGCTACACCTTCAAATTAAAGCAGCTTTAAAATATTGAAATGTAATTACAGTATTAGCAAGATGACCATAAATTTAAGAGTCTAGAGTGGGACACAAGATTGGGAAGCAGCATGATACTAGATAGTAGGGTCTGTATGAGCACATTTTACTTCAAGGATTTAAGGTCAACCATATGTTGCAGAACCAGCGCAGGGCTTTCCAGAACACTGTTCTGAGAAGGGTCACTGGACCCGAAACGTTAACTGTTTTCTCCTCCACAGATGCTGCCAGACCTGCTGAGCTTTTCCAGCAACTTTGTTTTTGTTCCTGATTTACAGCATCCGCAGTTCTTTTTTTTCCAGAACACTTTTATTTTGGCAGCTGACTAAACTTTAACGCCAGAGATGAGTTTGATTATTGTATCCAAGGACAGTGAGTGATGGTCTTGCTTGTGAATGGCAGACTCTGTAATCTTGAAGGTCTGAAAGAATAAATTCAATAACCAGTTTAAACCATTATTCTTTCCTTACACAATAGTCACTTCACAATTTGGCACAGGAATGTTATTGTCTATGGATCTGTCACAAGGATAAATAATCTATTCAGCCGGATTCCCGAATTAAGGGCTCGATTGCAAGTTCTCTGGGCCTGGTACCAAATCTCAGATGGGAATTATCCACTGAACTAGCACCAGACTTCTCAAGTTCATTACAGGTATGCATAAGTCAAACAGGGTACATTTCAATGGTGAAACCATAATTCTACAGGGAAGGTATCGTACAGTTTCTGGGTTTGCATATGTATACAATCTCTTATTTGTCTCAACTCTGTTCTACTCATTTCAGACAAGATCAATTTAGTCAAAATAATTTCTGATCCTACAGATATGATTAAGTGTTGCTTGCTGTACCAAAAATTCCCCTAGATGAACATACAGGATAGTGGATAATTGCAAAAAGGATGGGACATGGTTTAGCCACCCACATCAAGGGAAGTCTCACCAATGACACACAAGATTCAAAATCTCCAAAATGTGGTAATCTGACCATCACAGATGTCTACAGGCCATCAAATTATCTTTGGCCTTGTGTGACTATACAGACTGCATCTATATTGGCAACATTGAAATCTAGAATAACTGGGCACAGGAGAGGGTACTGCCCAGGACAGATTTAGAAATTTTGTTTCATCAATGTAATTGTTCTTTAAGTAGACATTATGACTCTCAAAGGAACACCCATTAAATTGCTTGTACAGTTTTGTCTATTGTCTTTCATCTGTTAAATGGATGCATTCTTTTCTGCATTAACCAGCACACTAACAGAAGAAATGAATCCCAATAATGTGGTAAATTAAATCCTGAACTTAATCACTGTCCAAGTTCACCTTTTCATTCTTCCATCTTATTCTGACTTAACTAACCAACATAAATTTATGTTCATCTGTGTCTCTGCCACTTGTAACTTAATTCACCCCAAGGCTCATTCATGCATTATTTCTGTGAGCAGAACTAGTATGGCTTCTAATTTAGGCTTCAAAGGAAGGTCAGTGCAGTCTTCAAAATCACCATCCTTATTTTCAAATCTCTCTATGACTTTATTCCTTCCTAATTGTGTGACCTTCCAAGATATCTGCAGTCCCCAATTTCCAGCTTCTTAAACATCATCAGTTTTAGTTGCTCCTATATTAGGGGCTTTAGCAACCAAATCCGTAAGTTTGAAATTTTTACCTAAACTGCTCCAGTTCTCTCCTCTAAGACTACCTTATAACTTACCTTTCTGACCAAGTTTGTGGTCATCTGTTCTGATACTTGTCTTTGGCTTAAAGACAAAAATTGCATTTATTGATACAGCTCTTTCAAGTACCATGTGACATTTTGCTAAATTGAAGCCACAGCACAGATGCTAACTCCTGATATTTATGTCAAGACAAGACTTGCTGTGACAAGACTTCAAACTGTTGCTCAAAGTTTCTAGACTACAGACAATTTTGCACCTTAAGTTTCAACTGATTACTTCATTATCCATGAACTTTTCATAGTCCACTATTTAGAGACAAAAGTGTAGAAGAGGTTTGTGAGACATCCATAGATTAGATATTTGGACCAGAAAGATACTCAAACCAACATCACCAAAGAAATGTCAAAGCCTCTTTTCAGTGTGTGCACTGACTCTTTTTTGTTTTTAAGTGTAGGCATTGTATCTACTCCCCTGATCTTTCACTGTGCATGTTTCCCATTTGGAAGTTATTGTTCAATCTGCTTTCACTGCCATTTCTACTGCTTCCTAGATTGTGACAATTCATAGCATATACAATTTCCCCTCCTGATGCTTCTTGTTCATTTGGCAATACTCTTTTACAACAAAGAGCTCCTCCACCTGATACCCAATGAAAGCTGATTTTATATTAGACCCAAGTCCAACAGCGACTGAATGGAGACTGTCCAATCTCATGATCCCTACAAGAACTTTCTAGCCATTTATCTGCTCTGGATTCACAGGTTCCAAGATGATGACAAGTGTTGAAATGCACTGTGCAACCCACTTGACCATTTTCAATCACATATGTTGCAGAAATCTCCATGCACTTGACACTCAATTACTTCAAGATGGAAAAATGCAGTGACTTATGCAGGCATCCTCAGATTTTGTTAGACAAACATCAGGAAAGATCCTGAAATGTCAGTTCTAGCTCTGGACTGGAGCTCAAATCCACAAACTTTGAATGCAGAATCTAGTCACAGAAAATGACATTATGCCCTATCCAGCTCTCGGGATATTTCCCCTCAGTAGGGCAGAAGTCAAGTGAAAAAGAAACCTGTACTACATTGGACAGCTTTCAATTTTTAGTAGGGAATAAAACAGCAGTAGAAATCTTTCCACCTTGCAGCTTTATTAGACACCTGTGGCCTGGGTGATTGTTATTTTTACTGTGCGGCATAATATGATCAATGAACAGATTCCACAGCCTGAAAGGAAATATCCTAAACTTTAAATTAAATCTACAGTCAGTGCTTGCTTCCCCCTCTAGACTACCTAAGTTTTTCCACATAGTTCAGCCATTAACCTCTCAGCCAATCCCCAATGACTTCACTGGAGAGCACTGTTAAAATCTAAAGGAAACTGAATTTATAAGTGGAAGCTTGCTCAGTCCAATTATGACCCAAAATAAGGCTATACAAACAATGGAAATCTCACTGAAATCGAACAAACAATATTCTCACTTGCAAAATACAGCATCAGTGAGAACATTAGTCTCCTTCTGTAGTACAATTGTGAAAGATTTTTATCCTGCTCCCAGTTCATTATGTTATGGTTAGTAAATATTAATAATGTTAACATCTGTAGTGGTCAACTCAGAGGCTAAATATTCTCCAGGGTGAAAAAACACTCAAACTCTGTTTATCTGACTGTTAGGCTCTGGTTGTGCTGACAACATGACTGAGTACAGATACTCACACTTTTGTCAAAACTTCTTTGTCTGCATGTGATAACTGAACAGCAGCATCAGCAAATGTAGAGTATTCAATGAACCTTTTCAAATGAGAGCACTTCCATGAAATCTGAATCTGTCACATCTATAAACACAGATATCTTTAAGTGTTGTATGAACCCTGTGTCCAAGGTTGGCAATTGATAGGTGGGTAATTGAGACATCAAATATGGATCTAAATTTACACTATCCAACAGTACCTTCAGTACAGAAACAAAAATGACAAAACACTCTATAACATTAAGAAAAAATTGAACTAATGCAAGCAACAGTTATGCCATGTGGGGCCATCATGTAAAATTTAAGTTAATTAATTTGATTCAAGTTGGAGGAGGGGAAGTGGCAAAGGAGGATTCTATTGTGGATTTTTCATGACTTCAACTAAACCTGATTTAAGTTTTCCAAAATGTATTTCTAAAATCATAGAAGAATGAAGAGAAAAGGTTTTCCTCTATTACAGGGTCACTCTATTTATAACAACTGTGGCACAAATGCCAAGCAGCTTTACTTCATACTAGCTGAAAGAATTTGATGTGTAAATTCTGGATTCAGAACCCAAACTCTTCTCACTGCACAGAACTTCCATCCTGCAGACTGCTGGTTTGCATCACAGCATGAACAGAGCCAAACCACACTACACTGACACTATTTTTGAAATTACATATTGTTAATGATTCAGGTAATTAACACCAAGATCGAGTGATGAATTTAAACCATACCCTTAGAGCATTTTTAGATACCCATGCTTCAAGTGAAATCACTTCTTTAAATAATATAAAGCCTGCTCATCAGAAGAGCCATGTGACATTGCTCAATCCAAATAGGGTTTATGTATACAGATTACTAGATAATATTGACAGCTGCAGCAGATGATGATTACCCGGTCAAATACACTGAAAAAAGTGGTTATAGCAGAAATAATCAAGAACCATTACAAGAGCATTATAAACACATCAAAGCTCTATTAAACAACATGTATGTACAATCGACAAAACGTAAGGGAAGACCCAAGCTCTCAGAATCATTTTAATGGTCATCACAGGTATTCAGATAATACATGCAAACATTATTCATCACCGAACCTGGGGGAGGAAGTAAAGAGAGATGAAGGGAAAGAAGGAACAACTCAGGACAAATTTAGAAAACTAGTTTTAAACATGAAGCAATATGTTCATCCTCTGAAAGCAGCATTTACATTTAATCTCCATTTTATTTTAACACATTCATTATCCGTTTTACAGATATTTAATGTGGCCAATCTGTTAACCGAATAACTTTCCACATGCAATAAGCAGGGGAACTAACTGATGAACTAAAATCTTACTAAGATGTTTATATGAAACACCATCTGCTATTTATTCTGAAAGTTCGCTGCTTTGACAAAATCGCAAGCTGGTGTTCAAAGTTTCGATACAGACAGAAATGTACCTCCAATAACTGCGTGAAGCTCCCGTTAACTCCTTCAATATTAAATCGACTCCTCAATTCTTCATTTCAAACGGCTTCATAAACTGCAGCTAAGAAACTCCTTCCAAACAGTCTCAGACTGATGCCAACACAGTGCACTGTTCAGAGGCAAAGAAAAAAAAATTAACAGCTTGACAGACATCAGTGCTTAAATCGATGTTTGGGCTGCAAGGCCTGGCTCATGTCACCAAACACTCGTAATTGGGAAAGGTTATGGTCCATCTGTGCATCGACATAATTGCAGCAGTGAATTACAAAAAGGAAGCAGCACATATTATAAAGCTATTCATCCCATTACATCCATATGGTCTATTTGAAAGTTATTCAATTAGTCCTAGATTCTGGATCTTCCACAGCATCAGTCCAAAGATGTGCAGGTTAGGTGACTGGTCACACTAAATTGCTCATAATGTCCAGGGGGTGTCTTAGCAATGGTAATGTGTGGCGTCGTGGGGATAGGGTGTGGTGGTGAGACAGGGTGGGATGGTCTTTGGAGGGTTGGTGTGGGCTTGATGGACTGAGTGGCCTCTTTCCACACTGTAAGGATTCTACGATCTGTACAAATTTCATAGAATCCTTACAGTGCGGAAACAAGCCCTTAGACCCAACAAGTTCGCACTGACCCTCAATGCATCCCACCCAGACCCATCCCCCTATAATCCACCTTACCGCCACATCCCTGAACACTATGGGGCAATTTACCATGGCCAATCCACCTAGCCTGCACATTTTTGGACTGTGGGAGGAAACTCCTGGAGTTATAAGTCAAACTATCATTACTGCTCGGTTAATACACACAGAACAGTCCTCATTACGGAACCAAAGTGGAGAAGTTATCCTAATAATATAGTGGACTATGAAATCTTCTAATGATCGTTTCCGATAACTGTGTACAACAATTTTATCTTTATACATTGCTATTTCAAATCTCAGTCATCATTCATGCCTATTATTCCCTCTACTGTAAACTTCTCACCTTGTTGCTCTAACAGTTTAGCTGGGCATCTTCACACAATGAACTGACAACTCCCCCCACAACCATTTCTCAGGGATGTCACCAATTGGCAATATTAAAGGTACAGGAAGCTAAAACTAAGTGGAATTTCAACCAGTGGGATTTTGACACGAGCGATAAATTGGTGCAGAGGTTTTGGAAGATCATTCAAATTTAAGATATCACTACTAAAAATGCTGTGCTCAACTAATGCATAATTTATTAAAAAAGGACACTAGTCTTTTCTGTTCCAGTTTGGTGACACCTGCTAATAGCCTCAGAGTTATCATAGCTATGCATTCAATGCCCAAAAGTATTCTTAATTGACACAGTTTTACTGTGTGGACAAAAGTGAGTTGGTAAAGCAGATACTTGCATCATTAGCAAAACTTCCTCTGTTCAAATAAAATGATCAACAATCAGATTCAGCAAATGAACAAGAATATTTCAAACATCTCTTGAAACAAGACCACTTCACTGGGAATCCCCTCTGCAGTTAGTTTGGATTGGACATCTATTATCTGCTAAATGAATCCTGGCTCCACAGATGAGTAACAGAAACTGGTAAATAAATGAAACATCAAACATGGGTCTTACATGCATTATCAACAATAAATTTAGTACAGGGAATTTAAACAATTATAAAACATTGTGAATTAATTCGTCGAGAAAAGACAAACTAACGTAAACAACAGTAAAATTATGGTACAAAGTAAATTAATTTAACCAAAGGATGAAGAAGGGAGCAACAAAAGATGGGTCGTTTTGTGGATTCTCATCATGGATTCAATAAAGATTGATTCAAAATTTGCAAAAAACTTATTTTAATTGAGCCCCCAAAAATCACTGGAGAACAAAGAAGCAGAAAGCTTTCCTTGTTTAATCACTCTGTTTATAACAATGGTGGCACAAGTACCAAACAGCTTTACTTCAGATTCAAAGAATTTGCTGTGAAAATTCTGCATTCAGAACCCAAGATCATCTCACTGCAGAGAACTAGTTCCATCCTGCATACAGCTGCTTTATATTACAACTGAGCCAAGCCACACGGCACAGTTACATTATAATTGGAATATAAATGCAGTTAACACTATCTGTCTTTGACACCGAGGGCCAGAGATGGAAGTTTAGCTTGCTCCTCACTTTGCAAATCGACTTCATAGACGAGCCACAATGACACAACTCAGATATTCAGCAGACATTAGGATGAAAACCGAGGCTTTTAGTACATTAAGATTACCTGTCAGATAAACTGTGAAAATGATGTGTTGGATAAAGTCTACAACTATTACAAGACTATTATAAAAATCATTACTGTTCCTACTAGATAACGTACATATAATCAGTACAGAAGATCCCAAGCTCTCAGAATAACTATTTTAATGCTCGTCACCAGCAGTTCAGGTAATACATGCAAATATTATTCATCACTGAACCTGGGTTCTGTGGAAGAGCAGAGGACTTTCCAGGATAGACTTCAAAGTTTACTTTTGCATAAAAGAACATGTTACACATAAATGAATATGTTCATATTATCTAAAGGGGCACAAACTCTTTTTAACAGCATTTTAAAACAGTGATTAATCAGTCAGCAAGTGCTTAATACAGTTAACCTGTTAACTGGATAACTTTAAAACTTTCCAGTGCATTAATCAGAAGAAGTGAAAGTCCATGATATTCTGATACATGACAATAATCTGTATTTATTCAGAAAGATTGCAGCTTTGACAGAATTGCAAGTTGCAGTTCAAAAGTCCAATAGACAGATTTGTACCTACATTTCTCACTTGCACCTCAGTTATCAATTGGTTCGATTATCATTCTTTGAATCTTCATTTCAAACAAGCATCTACATGATGGACTAAGAAACTCCAAACCAGTCTTGCAATGAGCTGAAATAGTGCACTGTTAACAGACAAAGAAAGACAATAGGGGTCAATGAAACATTAGTGAATTAGTCCAATGGATGATCTGGCTAATAACAGCAAGACCCTTGGTTTATCAAAGTTCATTGCATTTCATTGGGAAAGATTTTGATCTAACTATGCATTAACAAAATAACAGCCAGCACACCATAAAATTATAAAATGATGCTACACACAAAGATATATGCCCCATCATATCCACGGCATCTATAAAACAGTGGTCCAATTAGTCCCACTCCCCTGATCTTTCATCTCCCTCCTACAAATCTCCCTATTTCACATTTCATAATTACAGCTGAATCTGTTTCAACTACAATTTCAGGCCATGCATTCCAGACCATAACGCGCTGCATGTTTTTCTCCCTTCATGTATCTTTTTGGCTGCATAGTCCCTGAAATAAAGTGGACTCTTTTGTAGGAACATGTATATCTGTACGACACTCCCAACTAATCGCAAATCATGTCATGTGTGCAAGCACATTTGCCACTAAATGAAGAATGTCCAATTGTGCCCATCCATCTAAGCTGAACTAAATTCAGACTCCAAAGTGGGGAATGGAAATCAAAGGTATATGAGAGCTATACAGCATAGAAGAGGCCCTTTGGCCCATTCTGTCTGCACTAGTCATCAAGCACCTACATACTCTAGTCACATTTTCCAGAACCCCTTTTTTCCTACAGCATATTGGTCAGATCACACCTACAGTAATGTGCACAGTTTTGATCTCTATTTAAGAACACAGCTAACTGCAACAGAAGCATTTCAGAGAAGGTTCACTCAACTGACTCATGGGATGAGGCAGTTCTCTTAATAGGAGAGGTTGGGCATGTTGGGTTTGTTTCCTTTGGAGTTTAGAGAGGTGATCTTATTGAAACATACATGATCACGAGTAGACCTGACAGGAGGGATGCTTTTCTTTGTGGAACGAACTAGAAAAGGACACAAATTTTAAGAAGTGGCTCCCATTTAAGACAGATGAGGAGAATTCCTCTCTGTCAAGGAGGTACAAGTCTTTCAAATACTTGCTCACCTAGAGAGAGGAGGTGGGGTCATTGAGTATTTGTAAGGAAGAGATAGAGAGATTCTTTCTTAACAAAGGCATTGAAGTGTATTAGGGGTAACAGGAAAGTGACAGTTGAGGCCACAATCTATATCAGTCACAATATTATTAAATAGTACAGCAGGCTAGAGGCCAATTCTTGGTTCTAATTCATACAGTCCTTCAAAAAAAGGCAAAATCATAGCTTAAATTCACTGTGTTGCTCAAAAGACCATCAAGAGCATGTTGATATGATGCAGTTGCACTCCCAGACAGTACCATGTATTCAACATACAATCATTTTTTTTTAAAAAACTGAAAGACTTGTGTTGGCTAAAAAGCAAGAGCAGGCCTGAGTGTGTCACTCTATATGACACACACAAGTCCTAGAAGAGGAGCTGAAACTCACATTCAACAACTTAAGTGACAACGGGCCTATCCTGCTCTAAGTTGGTGATTCAATCCCTTTAAAGCACACGTAACAACAGTGGTGCTTAATTTCAACAAAAGTACACAGGTTCAGTAGGGAGATGGCTAAGAGAAACAAAAGTTCATTTGAGGGCTTTCAGTTTTAATGCATTAATGAAATGGAGTGCAGACATATTTAAAACCTTCCCTTTACAGTTTCATTCGACATTCATGTCTGTGGAATTATGAATACACTTACTGCCTGGAAATAACAAGACCTACAAACAGATTTACAAACTGGAAGGAAATAACTCAGAGTTCAGGACATCAGTTGAACAGTCATCACTTCAGTTTTTATGGGCCAAATATCATATCATAGAACCAGAAATCACATTAGAAAAGTAACACAGCATTTACAAACTATGAAAAATTATACTGCACTTACTAAACTGGTAAAATACACATAATTGTTATTTTCATCATGGTTTTAAACATTGTTCAACACTCAGTTCAAACCTATAGTCGCTGCTTGTGCCTATTATTCCCTACCAGAAAAAAAGTCACTGGCATCATCAAAATCACCACTGTCCAAATGTAATGCTTGTGAACAGATTTGGCAAATGTTACAAGAGTATTCCAAAAACCTTGTGAAATAAGACTGTTTTGACAGAAATTTATTTTACATTTAAATAAATTGAACAACTATTATCTATTGCATGAAGCCCTACACCTTAGTGGGCAATAGAGATGTCAAATCTTTGGTCTTACACATGCAATCCAGCAGCACAGGAAATCAAACAATTACAAAACATTTTCCTCCCAAGTTCTCAGAATGATTATTTTAGAACTCGTCACTGACAGTTCAGATAATACATGCAAACATCATTCATCATTTAACTTGGGCATGGGGCAGAAGACAGGAAATAAAGGAGATCTTCAAGGATAAATTAAAAATATAGATTTCCATAACAAGTATTATTTATTTACAAACAGAACTAGATATTTAAATTTTCTAAAAGCCCTCATGTTAAGTACTTTGTACATATTTTAATAGTTATTAAAAGTTAACAGGTAATTAACGCAGTTAACCTTTAAACGGATAGCTCTGAATGCCATAAGCAATTCATTCACAGAGGAAGTAAATGCCAATGATGTCGTCAATATGAAGTAGTTATTTATTCCAAGAGGTTACAACTTTAGCAAGATTACAAATCATTGTTCAAAATTCCAAAAGACAGGATTGTACCTTAAGTCGTTGTGCCCGCATCTGACATTTGCTCCTTAGATCAATAAGTTTATCAGCATCATCACTGATTCATCATTTCAAACTCGTATCTTCCCATCAGGGGACTAAGAAAATCTTCACAACCAGTCTCATGATTACATTGAACAGTGCACTGTTCAGAGACAAAAAAAAAAGGACAAATGCTGTCAGTAAACCATCAGTGAATTACACTGTTTGGACTGGAAAGGAAGTGATAGTGAACAGTGTCTTTATCAAGCCCCTATGCAAAGCGTTGGGAAACTCTTCAATCCATCTGTGCCTCAGCACAATGACAACCTTCACATCGTAGAATGATGCAGCGCATAATAAAACCATGGAGCCCACTGTATCTATACAGTCTCTTTGAAAGTGTGGTCTAGTTAGATGCACTTCCCTGATCTTTCAGCACAGTCTTACAAATGTTCCACTTTCTGGTACTGACTCAATTTCCATTTCATAATTATTTAATCTGCTTCCACCACCATTTCAGGCAGCATACTCCAGATCATAACAACAAACAAGGCTCTCAGCAAATTATTTAATATTTGCAAATGCAAAACTTGACAGGGTATGGAGAAAGTATTGAAATAGTACTATACTGTCAGATGCATCATCTTTCAGATGAAATGTTAAGCCAAGATCCCATCTACCATCTCAGATGATTGTAAAAGATCTTGTGTTATTTTGAAGAGCAGGGTCCCTCCAGTGTCCTCACCTACATTTATTGGTCAACCAACACTTCAAAAAGACAGTCTGGTCATTTATCTCAAATGTGGGCTCTTGGTGTATCAAAGTTGCTTCCCATAGCACAACCATATAGGCATCTTAAATATATTTAATTGGCCATAAAGCTCTTTGGGCTGTCCTAAAGTCACAAACTCACTGGAAAAAAAATTAAGCTGCTTTTGTGCTACAAACTTCTATGGCTCTACATTTAAAAAAATCAGAAAGAAGCATATACTTACCTCTCAGTTAGACCATGTGAAGAGATTCAACTTCAGAAAGTGAAGATTTCAAGCCCTGAGAATAACAATTTTAAGATCAGATCAGACCACTGCCATTGGCTACTTACAAGAATAGGGCTGTAAAATCAGAACATTAGCCACAGTTAAAATATTACTTAAATTACAAAATATTTGAATTACGACTGATCCGCCAATTTTACAATCCAAATAATGATTTACTTTTCTTCAACACCTATTCAATACACAGGTCAAAAATTGATCAGAGATGTAACCTATACTTTCAAGGGGTGAAACAATCTTCAACAAGATAGAGATCTTGAGGCCCATCAGATTTTAAAAATGCAAAAAAAATGCCCAATTCAGTTAATTACACTTGCTAATTAATACTTAGCAATGATTGCAATGTTGAGTTAACATTAATTTCCAGCCAATTCTCTAAAATTCTTTGATTTCCAACTATAGCTCCACACATCACTCCACGTGTCATCCTACCATGCTACGCTCAGCCCTAAAAGAGCAGCTTTGGAGCACCTGGATTAGTCTTCCTGCAGCATTTACCACCTCGTTACTCCTCAACACCAGTAAAAACACAGACTGATTGAGGATTGGGTTCGACATGATCATTCTGAATTGGAACAGCCACCAATAGCCTGGCTCCAGGCTCCAGGCCCAGGCCCGCCTGATTTCACCGGCCCAGCCCGTACACATCCCACCGCTGGCAAGAGTCGGATCAGGCTGCTGCATTGCCCTGACCTCTCCCAATAATAACTCGTTTCTCACAGTTTCGCCGACTCCAGGGAGACGGGAACACAGCCACCTCTCCTTCCCCGCAGCCTGAGCCTCTGCCTGCTGCCGCACCGCCGCCATAGATCCGAACGCCAATCTTCCCGGCACACATGCGCGTTGGTGGGTGAGTGCGTGCGGCGCAGTGCGCCCTGGGAGTTGTAGTCCTTAGGGGCAAGGGCGGTGGCGCTTCTCCATCCAGGAATGTAGGGCTTTGGAGGGGAAAGAAACTACAACGCCCAGGAGGCTGCGCGCGCGGTGGAGGAAGGGCAGAGAGACAATCTGAGCCCAGAGGATCAGGCAAGGTGTGAGCTGCAATTAACTACAGTTGTTCTGATAATAAGTGGGAGAAGATAAGCTGACTTTTTTTTCAAGCCAAGATAAAATTGCGTGTTGGGGTGGGATTGGTTAAAACTCGGATGGAGAACGAGCGTTGCATGGTGAACGCGGTGACAGTCACGTGCATAGCGTTCCGACGCCATAAGGCGAGGGAATGCAGTTCCGCTACTTGATTGGAGGGTTCGGCGCACTGCAACTTGACGTAAACGTCTCTGATTGGATGGACGCGATAAGCGCCGAGGGGCAAAACTGCGCGTGACCGGAAATGCCGTGCACATCCGGTGAGGAAGAGAGCGAGATCAATCCGTTGCTAGGATGTGAAACGAGGACAACAAAAGTACTTGTGCAGACTGGCCTGGGTAAAATGTTTCAGTTGAATACTGTATTAACAGAAGGATGACTAGTGTGATTTCTTTTAGTTATTTGTGATTTATATTTAGGAACATTTTTGGTAGTTTTGAGAATAAAGAGTGAATTGGTTAAGTTAAAGTGTGTCCTGTGTCTGCTACACCCCGCACTGAGGTTGACTGTGCCTCAGACAGAGAAAAGCAACAAGAAGTTTGGCGTCACCTTGGGTGGGTGCTGACAAGAAGCAGTGACTGCCCTGGCCTACCTCTAACTCCTAAAAGAAAGCATCCAGCCTGAGGGGTTGCCAGAAGTGGAAGGAGCTAAAATAAACAGTGGGTGAATCTTCAAAGGCACAGCATTTAAAGTTGGTAGTGCTGTTATAAGATGGTGGGTTCGGGTAACTCTGACCGGAAATGATTTCTCTGTCAATATGTGACTGAGAAGTGGCCAAACTATAGTGAATTTACTGGAAAGGCTGGTACTGGGTTTGGGACTCATGGAGACGCTCTTTGGAGTTTAGCTAAGGATAGCATGAGGAGTTGTAAGTTTAAAAAGTTACAGAAGGCGGTAGCAGTCAGCTCCCTGCTGGAGGACTGGGCAGAAAACCTACAGGAAAAGCTGAAGATGCAAGCTAAGATATAGATGACCTTCAAAAGGAGATAAGCAGGCTTACAGAAAGAGCTGAGAATTATTTCACATATGTGAAAGAGTATGAGATACCATATGAGAAATTAGAGAGGGAGAAAAATAAATGAGGCATTTAAACAAGATCATGAAGAGAAAGAGCTATTGAAAAACCAGTGTGATGATTTGAAGATTGCTATGAATGTGTATAAAACTGCTCAAAGGAAGAGACTTTCAGAACTGACCAACGTTGCCAAATTTGTGGGCATGTGTCAGCTCGGGTTGATCCCCTGGAGTTGTTCACAAAGACAAACTCCCAGAGACTGATATGTGGTTAAATGATGAGGAAAAGAAGAAATATTAATGTGTCTGCACCCAAGTGTTCTCATGGCCCTAACAAGAGAAAGAGCTAATGGACAGGGAACCCTTACTAAGTTAAAGGGAGGCTATTTTAACAGCCATGGAAGCTAGTAGAAGTGATCTTGTAGGATCATTAAATAATTGCAGGCAGAGGAAGGTAGTACACCCAACAGCTTTTGCTGCCCAACTCTGGTCAGTGTTTTGGAATGTTTACGGGCCGGACTAGATCACCAGAACCTGCAGGACTGAGAAAGGTCACTTTGGTTACGGACCTTAGTATCACCTGGTATGGACAATTCAAAAAAAGGCTTGTGACCTGTTTGACCCGACCACACACACGGCAGCGTGGACAATAAGACAGATGACGAGAGCATAGGGAAAGGGAAGGGGAAATCCAAATAAGACTAAAACGTCTAGGATGGCACCAGCTAACAGGGCTGGGGGTGGCTGGAAAAATGAAGGAAAAGAGTCCATGTTGAGGGACGTACACCCTCCATATAAGACAGTAGGTGAAGGCAGGCAGAGGGAAAGGGGAAATCCACCTACTGTTGGCAGTGGACAAGCCATAGGAAGTGATAATCGGTGTTATATCTGTGGAGGAATGGGCCACTATGCTAGAGATTGTCTAACCCCTCGGAAGGGTGGGACAAATCAAAAGCAGACCCAATCCTTGCCACCTATTTAGAGGGACCCCAGTCCATGCCACAAAATAATGTACAGCCAATGGAAGCAATGAGCAGATTGTACCCAGCTCACAGTGACAATATCAGGCCTCTCCAGTGTGGATGTGTGATGCTATGTGGGATTGAACGGGAAGACCCTTCGTGGATGGTAAGGTTGGAGGCCACCCTATCATTTTACTCTGGGATACAGGCAGATCCTGAATCACCTTAAACGCATCCACTTTACATCAACAACCTGGAAAATAAAAGCAGACATTATTCTAACAGAGTTTACAGGACATTCAGAAGTAGGGCAGGTAACTAGTCCTTTAAGTGTACAGATTAGATCTTTACTCTTACAGCCCTGAGTGGCGCTACTCAGCAGCGACAGCAACATCTCTTGGAAAGTGGTTACATGGTAAGAGCCTGTCTTTGTTTTCCCCTGGTAAACTGTATGATCTGGCAGATGCCAGGGATGAGTGAGACACAGTCCGTTGCTGAAATATCAGTCAGTCAATACGGGTAATGAGTTTCACCGTTGGAGATCTGTGGATAAAACATACAGATATGAGCTGGGGGCAAACATGATTATGGGAGGATGCAGGGGGAATTTTGCATCCAAGGACCAGACCCAAAGCCACAGAAACAATACAGGTTTCCCAAACAAGCAGAAGGAGACTCAAGAAAGTAATTCTGAGTCTAATAATTTGGAGTACTACGATGTCGCCTTTCACCCATAATTCTCCAATTTGGCCAGTTAAAAAGCCAAGCGACTTTGCCATTGATTACAGGGAACTAAATAAAGTCATGCCTATGGCAGCCCCTACAGTGGCTACTCGTCCTGAAGCTATGATTAAACAAAACAAGTTAGCACAATGGTTTACAGTGTTAGGCATCAACACTGGATTTTGGTCAATCTCTTTGACTAAAGAGTGTCAGTATAAACTTGCATTTACCTTTAAATGACAGCAATATATGTGTACAGCTTTACCACGGGGATTCCACAATTCCCCATCAATATTTCATCAATGGGTAGGTAATAGTTTAGGGGATTTTCTAGGCCAGACTGTCTGATATAATAATGTTGATGATTTGCTTTTACAAACGGGAACCAAACAGGAATACTACCAACTCCTGAATGAGATGTGGCAAAAATTAAAGGAACTTGGGTTGAAAGTGAATCTGAAAAAGGCGTAGGCAATGAGACAGAAAGTGAGTTGTTACGGAAAGGTGTTAACACCAGGGAAAAGAGAGAGACAACGAATTGAAACAGCAGCTAGACTTCTCTTCACCACAGATGTGAAGGGAATAAGATCATATTTGGGCTTATTGTCATTATTAAAGAAAAATGCCCCATGGGAATGGAAGCCAATTATAGCTTTGAAACAGGGTTTGATGAGTGCTCCTGGTCTAAAAACACCAATCTCAGCTGAACCATCCTCTGAGATGGCTGCAACAAACTTTGCAATAATAGCGGTCTTATTACAAGAGGTACATTGACAGTTGAGACCAGTAGCCTATGCCTTGCATGTGTTCGTGCCATTAGAGCAGGGACATACAACATGAGGTATTTGTTGGCGGTGTTCTAGGCAGTGCAACATTTTACCTACATTGTAGGATTGAACCCATTGACAATTTTGATGGAAAGTACACCCATTCAGATGCTGCAGGATTGGACGTATTAATGATGAGCCAAAATAGGATTGCCAAATGGAAGTTGTTTTTACAAGGGAGGAACGTTGGAGGTAAAATGGGTTTAAAGTACCACCATGTTAGCAGACAATTTAATTTACCAAGGGATACTTTATTAATGTCATGTAATGATAGCAAATCGTCCCAAGGGACCATTTGTATCAAAACATAACAAAAAGGAGGGATTACAGTAAAGAGAACACAGAAAATGAAAAATTCCCCTTCAAAAATTGTTGACCGCTCTTCACCTGTCTTCTAGTTACTGACTATGTATGTGTGTAACAGCCTGACAGAATATCTACCCTTTTGGGAGGTGAGAAGGTTTGTCAGCAGATGGGAAGGCAGTACTGTTACGCCTTTTACTGAGGTATATCTTTGAAAGGCAAAGAGGAAAGAATATAGAGTGATGAAAGTGAAAGCTCATTCTAAGTTTTCACCAGTGGGAAACAAATGTAGATGAATCGTCTAAATGAGGGGCAACAGCAGGAGAAGAATGGGACCCACAGATTGAGGAAATAGGAGCACCAAAAGAGAAAGAAAAGACCCCTGCAAATTTAGCAGGAGAACAGAGGAACGATATTGAATTACAAAAGTTTCTAAAGGGAGAGAAATTGGGTTATGAACAAAAGGGACTATGAGCAAGAGATGGCATTATCCTATGAGATGGCGAAGGGAAGTTTGTAGTACCCGAGAAGGAAAAGAACCAAACGATATAGTGGTATCATGACATTCACAGGCACCAAGGAACGGGGAGCACCCTGAAAAGACTTGGGTGTTGGTGACCATGCATGAAGGGAGGCATAGATCATTATGTCAAGAACTGTTTAAGATGTGCACAATATAATCTGATAGCAATGTTCAGAAGGGAGAGTTGAGACATACTAGGCCCACTGAAGGACCTTATACAAACTTGCAGATAGATTTTGAGTTCCCT